CCGCAACCGGCGTACCTGGAATGCCAAACGGCAACATGCAAATGCCCAATGGCCATCCCCGTCATCCAGCCATGATGGCCGCAATGCAAGGGAATATGCAGCTACCACCTGGTATGATGGCACCGAAAATAACCCCACAAATGCAAGCACAGATGCAAGCGCAACTCGCCGCCCGTGGTGGAGTAACTTCACCACAGCAGATGCGAATGCTCCAGGAAGCCACCAGAGCGCAACAAGAACAGCTTCTACGACAGGCCCAAGCTCAGAGTGGTTCTCATTCTTCGCCGAACAATCCTCATGCCGCTCTCGCAAATGGCCAAGGCATGAGTAATGCTGCTTATCGTGCTGCTATGGCCGCTGCTACCGCAAACGGGAATGTATCCCCTTCTGGCCACATGAACGGAAGCTCGCCTCGTCCCAACACCGCTAATTCCGGCCAGGCTTTATCCAGTGGACATGTTCCTGTACTGACGCAGATCGCTAACAAAATTCGAGAACACCATCCCAACTTGTCAGACGAGGAGGTACAACGGCTTGCATCGCAGCAGCTCCAAACCTATCAACACCAAGCAACGGCTGCTGCCGCGGGGCAGAATCACAAACGCCCTCAGCCTCACAACCAGGCGGCGTTGAATGCGGCTCTTGGTGCTGTCAATGCTGGGAATAATGCCTCTGCTGCTGCCGCTGCCGCTGCTGCCGCACAACTTGGACATCCAAATATGATGACCAATGAGCAATTGCAACAATATAACCAGCGAATTAGAATGCAACAAGCTCAACAACACGCGGCGCGAAACTTGCAAGCGATGCAGATGCAGCAAATGGCCGCCATGCCCAATGGGATGGCAAACTCGCCTGTAATGAACATGGCTCGGCCAGTAAGCCAACACGGAAACCAAGGGCAAATGAGTCGCAGCGCAACCCCGAGAGACCAGCGCAGCTCCAGCCAGAGTAATGTTAATGGCAACGGGCCTGCGCAACAGAGCAGCCCACGACAGGCGCCGCAGAGCATGCAGACATAGGAAAAAATGATCGAGCTCTCCATATTACCGCACATTTTGTATAAAGAGGTTCATCTCCTATCTATTTGGTACTTGATATTTGATTGTGGGCTCGATCAGGGATGAACGTCGGCACCGGATGTCGGCACTGGGAGTTCATGGTACCCAGCTTTATGTACTCTCTGTCCGATGCGATGTGATAGACTACGCCCAGAGGAAAAGGAATATGAAGGACTGTGTGGTTAAAGCTAAGTGCAGTCTTGAGTCCAGGAGGGGATCGGACGCCAATCAAGTCGGGGACTCGACACTGAGCCTGTAGCACGAAGGGTATAACTGGGACAAGCACAAGCAATGACTGAGAGCAGATTTGAAAGAAATGCTCGAGAAGACAGACAGGAGCAATGTTCTAATTTCGAAGCTATTTTATGCGTTGCGCATATCAAGTACATTCAAGTTTTCTCTTTGGAAATCCCTCCCCCTGCGACCCCTCCAAGGCCCCCTGAGGTTGTAAGGGATTTCGTTCGTGCATGATCTGTTCCGTTCCGTTCGTTCGTGTGCAGATTTGGTCGATTCTTCTAAGCCTCACGCGGCTGCTCTCTGATCCTCGAGGCGTTGCAGCAGAGCGTCCAGGAAGGCATCGACTCTCCCGGACGATCGCCCCGGGTGGTGAGCAGACTCCTAATCTCCACCACCTACCTCAATCTCTCGAGGTCCCTGCTGTTGCTGCTGCTGGTCTCCCCTGTCGCGACGCGGTCCACGGCCACCTCTATCGCCACCCTGTCTTCTCTGCTGCTGGCGTTCTCCTCCATTTCTCTGACCGTCCCCGTCACCTCCGTAACCGTTGACGCCCGCATCTCCGTTCGACGTCGGCCCTTCCCTCAGAAACTTTTCCCTCTCGGCCCTGACGACGGTCAACACGCTCTCCAGGCTCCGTCGCCACACCATGAGGCGTCCTTGGATTTCGGCCCATTGCTTCTCCCCGAATACGCGGTACGTGGCTCGCTGAACCAAAAACTCCTGCTTCAGTTGGGAGAGCTTGCCTTCGACGAGACCAGCTCGGATGGTGTCGATGACCCACATCTCCACGTCTTCGGAGGGGATCTGCAATGCAGATGCAATGGTGCTATAGGGAACCGAGCGAGTCGTTGATGATGCGGCAATAGTAGCCAGTGTTAGAAGGCGGATCTTGTGGCTCAGCGTCTCAGCTGCGGAATCTGGTATGCCCAAGTCTGCTAGGTTGTTCGTTTCGAGGAAGTCGGTGTATGATGAATAATCGTCTGAGGAGAAGATCTCCAGGAGGTCGAAGAGATTGCTATCCGAACGCCGCAACGCGACGACCGCGTCGCTGGTAGTCAAGGGTGTAAAATCCGTTATTGCGGGATTTGTCAATGCCACCCGCAGAGCGCGTCGTGCGAGTTCTGCGCTCTCCGCCTCGGACGCCGATTCAGGAGGGATTGTCTGTAGTGCAGATAGAAGGTATGTGTAATGGAGGTCTTCATTTCCGGTCGCAGAAGCCACATCAGCCACCCCTACGTATAGATTGCGGGCATCTTCGTCATCGAGCTCCCATGCAGACAGCCAGTTGGGGATGTTCGTCTCGAGTTGAGGGATGAGCGCCTCGAAAGCCTGAGAGGAAGACGTTTGGCGCATGACTTTGAGGATGGCGAGGAAGACATGGTAGCGAGATTCACTTGTCGGAGGCAGGACGTTGAATATGGTTGTAAGGGTCTGCAGCGCAAGGCTGCCGCCGTAGGTGGGAGAGGAGGTAACGGGCTGCTCAGACAAATACGTGCATATTCTGGAGAAGAGTCCGTCAGAAATGGAAGATTGAGAAGAGAGGCTGATCAAGAGGTTGTATGCTGCGGAGAATTCTGCGAAATAGATGTCAGCATTCCACCTCCAAGTAGACAGTCACAACGGGTACTCTTACCTCTCTCAGGAGCGCTGTTGAGGACTGAAGCCTTGGTCACGATCTTTTTCAACACTTCATTTTTCTGGCTTTGGACTGCGGCCTCGTCAATAGGCTCTTGTGACTGCTCGGACTCTCTGATAGTGCTGAGCAGTTGTCCGATTTCGGCCTGAACCCCGGCGCCTTCTTCCGACTTTGCGAGTGTGTCGATGTACTGGGCGAGTTCTTCTGCAAGTTCAGTGAACGTCCCTTCGATCAGAAGGGTGTTTGTGGGTGCGGGCATTGGTGGCGGAGGTTGACTCGAAGCAACTTTACGGGCGTTACCGAATGGTAGCAAAGAAGGGGAATGAGCAAGAAGAACTAGAATCGCAGACACAGATTGTCCCCAAGTCAACCAGGACCTCAGATATTGCGATTGCTCAGTACCAGATGGTTTGGCTTCTGCGAGAGAACCACCAACGCCAAGATTTCATCTGGTGGTCGGAGGGCAACTTTCCCACTGACCGCAGCAGTTTTCGCGAAATCGATCATTTGGGGCTAGCGTCTTGGCAAAGTCCTGGATAGAATACATGAGTTTGGTGTGAACAAGTAAGGTTGAAGTGACTCCGTGGAAATTCTTAGTTTCTAGCTTATAATATACAGAGTATCGCATTGGGGGGAATATCCATGTTCATCTGAGTGAAATGTTCAAAACTCCCCAATATGTTGCAGATGATCACCACGATCTCTTCCTGAGAATGCTTCAGCCCTTAAATCACCGTCTCATGCCATCAACCTCCCAACGACGGCTAGAAGACGTCGTCTGCGACCTTGACCTCACCGGTGCCCGGTGCAGGGACGGCTGCATTGTCCTTTGCCGCCATCTCATCCTGAATGAAAACTCCCAGACCCGCAAATGCCCGCAGCAGACATTCGTCCATGTATTGTCCAAAGTCGTAACCTGCGGCAACCATGGCTTCTGCTGGCTTCCCCCTTGCCCGAGCAACGTAGCTCTCCTTGACCTCGTAGTAATCTCTGTTGCGCGACATCCCCATAAAGGGATCGTATGGTGCCACAGCCACCGGAATGATCTTCTTCTTCAGACCCTTGATTAGACCGCTGGGATCTGCAACGGTTGGGTCAACGTCCTTCTTCTTCAAGGCTTTAGTGCTGGGGTCGGCAGTTTCGCTTGTATCCACTTTGAGACCATTGGCAATGGCATACTCCTTCAACTTGCGGTTTGTAGCCGCCACATCCGTTCGCAGGACCAGATTCATGATCATTTCTTCTCGAAGCTCCAAGAAGTCATCGTAATAGCGTTTCGACTCGAATTCTTCCTCCTGCCGATCGAGGCTATCTATGTCAGGCCAAATGTGCGAAAGGGGCCAAGGACAACATACATTTTATTCACCCGTTTCCGAATTTCCACCTCGCGTTCGATCTTGAGATCTTCAAAAGTTTGGGTCCGCCATTCTCGTTTCCAGAGACTGACATGACATCCTCCGATGGGACATTCGGCTTTCCCACTGGAGAAGTTTCGGTCCACACAGCCTTCGCAGATCCGGTGGTAGCATTTGGTGTTGATCTTGAAGCGAAGTCCTGGGTGTGTCCGAGGATCGCTGCCACAGACGGGGCATTTGTTTGGGGCTGATGATTCATGTCAGTATGTCTCCGCTATCTTGTGTAAGTAGGGTCTGTACGGGTCAACTCATCATCATCCATGGCGCTTCTTGCTTCATCAGAAGGGGTTGCCTCTGATAAGTCCTTGATCAGACGACGCTTCGAATTTGATCGGACCTGGTGTGTGTCGCCACTATGAGCCGTAGCATCTCGAAAAATAATCAGCTACGGGTTCGCGAGGAAGTCATATAAGATCGAAGAGAGAGCAAGGTTGGAGAAGTGAAATGTGTAATGTCCAAGGCAGAGGCACGTGCAAGGCTGGAGGCGAAACTTGTAATGACAAATCGTTTCGCTACAGTGTCGTTACCAAAAAGTCAGGCGGCAAGGCTTCGTGGAAGATTTTCATCACCAAAACACGGATCATCACCTCCTCTCTCCTTTCTCTTCTCAGAACTCCTGCTTAGCCTGTGTGCTCTGCCTTTTTGTAAACCATGGACGCTTCCGCACTTGCTCGAGTTGAACTACAGCGGGTCGAATTAGAGAACAACATTGCAAAGCTCCGCAAATCTCTCCGACACTGGCAAACACTTGAGATCGACTACGAGGGGCTTAAAGAAGAATTCCTGGGCATCCCCGAAGATGCCTCCCCCGATGTCTGCCTTCAAGCAGCAAAAGACTTCAAGCCAGAAATTATCGACGAAACTGAGTTGCAGGAACTTCTGAGGGATAAAAGCTCCCGGCCTCGCCGACCTTCTCAACTTGTGGACTTGCTATCAAAGCGTGCAGATTATGTCACCCGAAATATTGAGACAATAAGGAAGCAACTCTCCGACGCAGAAAAGAGGAGGAATGCCTTACTGCTTGCAGAGGAGCCCGATCATCGAGATGAAGCTGGCCTACCTCTGGCCGAAATTACCGAGGAGCTCGACGACATGGGACAGGTTATATCCAGCAAAGTGGAGACCCCAGGTGCTAACGCTCCCAATCTAATAGACGTACTGAAGAGGGCTGGTGTGCATGATCTGGAGGAGACAAACGGCACAATCACGAAAGCCGAATCCCCAGCAAACCACCCGGACGGAAACGCCCCCGCGTCACAGATAGAAGTGGATGAGGATGGGGGTGAGGAAAGTAGTTCTCCGGATAACACTCCACTAGCCGGTATAGTTCAACAAGCGCAGTCTCCAACAGATGCCTTCCCAACGAATCCAAATGACACGGAAGCAGAAGCCGAATTGCGCCGAGAAATGCTCGAATATTCACGCGGCTTAGACGAAGTCGGGGCCATTGTAGCTGAGCTTGAGCTGGAAGAAGAGGCATCCGATATCTCGTATGACGAAAATGAAGACGACCTGGACTTTGACTCTGACATGGATCTGGAGGACCTCGAAGAGGACGAGTCGGAAGATGAATCTGGCAAGAGCAGACGGCCTCTATCTCTTCCACGCGGCTATCAAAAGAAAATGGAAGAATTGCAGGAGAAGCTAGGGCTGAAGAATATTGGGCCTCAACCAGAAGTTGAAGCCACAATGGAGCAAGTCAAACATGTGGAACGGCCACCAGCAGCCGAAGCAGCTCGGAAGGCAGCTATCGCCAGGCATGATAACTCGAAGAAGAGTAATTTGAAGTCGAGTCTGAGCAAGTCTGCGGAAGCCGACAAATCAATCAAGGAGAAGAAGCCCAGCAAAAAGAAAGTGGCATTCTCCACAGACTTGGATATTGCTCACGAACAGCCTCCGTCTGGGAAAATGCCTCCATCAAACAGACCGCCGCTCAGAGATACTCAAACATCGAAGTTGCGACCCATCAAAGATTCAATCATCGAGCGAGTGAGTGACCAAGATGAGGAAGCCCCTACTATCCCGGCAGCTCCAGCCACAAAGACCGTCAAACAGTCAAGATTCAAAGCTGCGCGGGAATCTTTACCGCAGACGCCCAAATTCGCTTCTCCAATGCCATTTTCAAGCGAAAGAGTTGAGGATACAGGTGCGTCCCCTCAGTCTCGATCCTCGGTCGTCACTGCGCAGGTGGTGGAGCGGTCATTTTCCAAAGCACCGAAGGCTCCCAGCCCAGATGACTTTTCCGAAGAGGACCACCAACGGGAGATCGCGAGGGAATACCAGCAACACAGGATGAAACGCATAGCCTCCCAAGATGGTGGGTTTCTCGGCAACAGTGAAGACGGTGAGATCACTCCTCTGGAAGACGCGAACGGGCGGAAGGTCAGCAGATTCAAGGCGGCGGGAATCAAACGATGAGGTTCGATCAGAGTCAGAATCCTCTGTCCTATCACCAAGACTTGCACAAGATGAAAGAGATCGTCATTCTTTGAGCCATCGAAGTCCTGTCACCATTTCCCCTTACCTCTTCTCTATACTTTCCATCCTGTCGAGTCGTTAGTTGCATTTCCCCCCGGAGCCGTCAGGAATCTCTTTCCATGCTACGCAGAATTTGTAGAATCAATCTACCTATTCTCACACGACGGAGCTCCTAGATGGAACGATGAAGCTGGGCTCTCTGACGCCTGATCCGGTGTTGATGGATATGGCGATTCGTTTCACCCAGTACATACAAGCAATTCATTCTCCACCCCGGGTCACCAAAATTGCGTCTTGAAGCCACGGCAAAGCTCCGGCTCCACTCTTGTCGATGCATGATGGATTTTCATTTGTCTACAAGCACACAAAAGGGTATTTGGATTACGAGATATCAATTCGTACTTGCGGATTCGGCTCGACGCATAGGAGCCGCTCCATCCCAGGCTGCCGAAGATCTTGACGTCCACCGCCCTTTGACCGACTTACCTGGACCTATCCTAGTAGGTTTACCCAGGGTATTACTTATAGCATTTGAGACCCCCCTCCCTACTATGGCCTTCTTGTCCTTTTAGGGTCTTTCAAACCCATATAATCCCCTGCCTTTCCCTCTCTTTCTCCCTCTAGTCCCCTTTATAGCTCTAACAATATCTTCCATCACGACAATAATTGCTCCTTCTTTCGAGGGAGATAGCTGGCAATCAAGCAAAAACACAACCTAGCCTGGGATTGGCTTCCCCCAATGGAGGCAAAGGGGGCTAAAGAGGTTGACTTCATCGGTCCAGCCCAGCGAATACAGAATCTATCTACCGATCATGTGCCTATCGAACCTCTCTCTGAAATGCCCGAAGCGGCTCAGCAGGTGCAGCCTCGCAGCAAGTTTCGCATCACTATGATTCTGATCGCCCTTTATCTCTCACTGTTCGTGGCCGCCCTCGACGCCACCATTGTCGCCACTGCAGTTCCCAAAATCACAGCGGACCTTCACTCGGCAGCTGGGTACATCTGGATCGGCGGTGCATATCTCATAGCCAATGCTGCAGCCGCTCCGATCTGGGTCAAATTTTCCGATATTTGGGGCCGCAAGCCAATTTTCCTCATCGCCGTGGTGGTATTCTTCGCCAGTTCGGTGGTATGTGCGGTAGCCGTCAACATTCAGATGCTTATTGCCGGCCGCAGTATCCAAGGAGCGGCGGGGGGTGGTCTGATCTGCATGGTCAATGTCGGCATTTCCGATCTCTTCAGCGTCCGTGAAAGGAGCTTGTGGCTCGGTTTGTGTGAAGGGATCTGGGCTCTGAGCGGAGCGGTCGGTCCTCTCTTGGGCGGTGCCTTTGCTCAGAAAGTCAGTTGGCGATGGTGCTTCTACTGCAACTTGCCCATCGCTGGTACCGCCTTTGTGCTTCTTGTGCCCTTCCTCAACGTGCACAACCCTCGAACGCCAGTACTGGATGGGGTCAAAGCCATCGACTGGTTTGGCTGTGTCTCAATTCTTGGTGTAACGGTGATGCTGCTCTTAGGACTTGACTTGGGTGGATCTGTCTATCCCTGGAGTTCGGCCAAAGTCATTTGCCTCATTGTGTTCGGCGCATTGATGATCCTTGTCTTTGTCTACAGCGAGAAGAAATTGGCCAAGTACCCGGTCATTCCCCTGTCCCTATTCGGCACCAGGAACATTGCGACCATGCTAGTGACGTTCTCTCACGGAATGGTAAGTCTCTGGCACTAGCATATACTCAAAACTCTCTACTGACACTCGATCTAGGTCTTCATTGCTGCCGAATATTACTTACCTCTGTATTTCCAAAGCGTCAAGGAAGCGTCACCGCTTCGATCAGGTGTTCTGTTGGTACCACTTATTGTCGCCACAGCAGGCACTGGTGTCATCAATGGCTTGATCATACATCGTACGGGCCAGTACAGACCATCCATGTGGGTTGGAACTATTTTAATGACCCTGGGCACTGGCCTCTTCATTTTATTGGATGCACACACCTCGACAGGCACCATCATCGGCCTTGAAATAATCGAAGGCGTTGGTTCAGGGCTGCTGTTTGAGCCTCCTCTCATCGCAATTCAACAAGGTGTTCCCCAGGACAGTGTCGGCACTGCGACATCGACACAGGCCTTCATTCGAAGCCTGGCCCTCTCGTTAGGCGTCATTCTAGGCGGGATTGTGTTTCAGCAAAGCATGGATCTTCGACGGTCGACATTGCAGCAGATGGGTTTGCCGCCTTCGGTCGTGGAGCAACTGTCTGGTAAAAACGCCGGCGCCAACGTCATGGTGGGCAAGACTCTTCCGCCCGCCCAAGAACTTGCAGTCAAGGAAGCATTCGCCTGGAGCATAAGAAACATGTTCATCATGTTCACGTGTCTTGGTGCTCTCGGTGTTATTGCGAGTCTCTTCGTGGTGAAGACAAAGCTTTCAAAAGAACACAGGGAGACGATCACTGGTCTCAAGAAGGAAGAGCCTCAGTCTTGAGGCACTGTTTTGAGTGCGCCTGATTTCTCTAGGCCTCTTCTCCGGAGCGCCCTCTCTGAATCCACCCCGGCTTGTGCGGTTTCGTCGTGCGACCAGTTCAACCTAACGACGACGACGGAGATGTACAAGCCTCTTCGACGGCAAACCACCGGGCCAGAGTCCTTGGTCAATGAGTTTTACAGTCGACTGTTGTGATATTCAACAAAGCAACATATACTACCGCATAGGGGATGCTTCAGCCCCATTAACAACAGCACGCCCTCCTTTGTTGGGACCTACCTCCATGGTCCATTGACTTTGAACACTTCACCAGCCTGGTTACCCGATCATTGCCAGAGGTCAACTCGTGATCCTTTACTCTGCCCGCTTTCAACAGACGTGCTTGCATGCTTGCTTCAATATTAGTCGATATATACGGTGAGCTTCTCCACCGTCACAAAAACAGCACATCATGTCAGATAGTCCCACGTTAGCCAGTCCCAGTCACGTCCTTTGCAGGGTGGACTGGAACTGCGGTGAGCTACGCACCGTCAACAACAGCAAGGCATACACCTACACGGTGATGCTCAATTGAAATGCTTGATATATATACCGGTGAGCTACGCACCGTCATCAACAGCACAGATTTTCCAATGGAAGCCAGTGGATCACACGCTTGAGGAACTCAGGCGTGCCGTGGGTTTCGTACTGATTTTGACAGATCGCGACGGCCGGTCAAAGTTCTGGAGCACTCCAACTCCAGATGAGCTCGTGAGACTGGGTCATCAAAATGCTCAAGGTAATGAACGAGGTTGACTTTGACGCTGTTTATCTTTTTTCCGCCATTCGTGCCCAAGGCGTTATGCGCCGAGTGAATCGAACAAACAGATGTACGGATCTGAAGTGATGGTAAGTAGCAGTAGCTTATGTGTTATCATCATGATAGTCGCGGCATTGCAGGCTACACTTGGACCTACAAATAAACGACAGGAAGGCTGTAAAATGTACGAGTAGCGTCTTATCAATAGCAGAACCTGATTATTTGATCAATTTCCGATTCTTCAGGCCGTCATGGTTAAACGACGGGCACGACGGATCGGCCCTTGTTAAGGCCCTATTCGCCTAAGTCCCAGGTCCACCACCACCACCAACAAACAAGCCGGTGGGTGGGTAGACTCTAATATTCCCTTCCCCGTTTTCGGTATCTAGGGACGCCGGGAACGCTGCATTTTCCTCGGGGCTTTGTTAAGACCGTTCGTCAAGTAATATCCTGGATTTGAAGTTGGGACAGAAGAATATATCTCCTCTGGCAGTCTCAGGGTGTGTTTGTCAATGTCGATAGTGGTTTAGGCGGTATGTCACAAGGCTTCAAGGGGAAAAGTCTTGTTACGCTACCTCCACCCTCTTATCATTGACTGGTAGCGACAGAGAAGAAACCCGATCTGAGCACATCTTTCGATACCCGTCTAGCTGGCTGGCAAGTCTGAAACATCAAAGCGAAATACAGCGAGCGGTGCAAGACACTGTTTGGTCCAAAGGTAAAGCTCATCTCTATCGGCGTCTTGTCTACAAAGATCAGAGTCGGTAACAGCTTCAGAAGCAGCATAAAAATGAATCATCAAGAGATTGGCCCTCCAGTCACGGCTGGTCCAGGCTCACGGCCGTCCCGGGTCACTTTGACAGGGACAACCGTGGTGCTTGAACCACTGTTGCCATCCCACGCCAGTCATCTCTACGACATGGTCAAGGGCGAGAACAATAACCGTCTCTGGACATATCTGTTCGACGACCCCTACGAGTCACTGGCGGCCTTTGAAGCTGCCGTGACGGCAAAGTCTCAATCGGAGGATCCCCTGTTCTTCGCCGTCGTGGACCAGCGAACCGCCAAACCCATTGGTTGGGTAAGCCTCATGCGCATCGACACCCGACACCGCGTCGTCGAAGTCGGCAACATCCTCTTCTCGCCGCGGTTGCAGCGGACAAGGGCCGCCACGGAAGCCGTGTATCTCCTGGCCAGGTATGTCTTTGAGACGCTGCACTATCGCCGATACGAGTGGAAATGCGACAACCTCAACACGCCGTCAAAAAGAGCGGCGGTGCGCTTTGGGTTCACCTTCGAGGGCGTCTTTAGAAAACACATGGTGTATAAAGAGAGATCTCGAGACACGTGTTGGTTCTCCATGATTGAGGATGACTGGTTTCAGCGAGGTGTCAAGCAAGGATTTGAGGGGTGGTTGGATGACGGCAATTTCGATGACAGTGGCAAGCAGAGGAGGAGACTGGAGGATGTTCGAGGGGAGTTGGAGGGCCAGAAGGGTCCTGTTTGTTGTACGGGAGTTTGAATGGCGCTGGGCGGCTGAATGGGTGAGAGAGAGAGAGACAAAGAGCAAAGGGTGTGGCAGCCAGCGCCTATTGAGTTGGGGTTGTGCCATTAGCAGAGGGCGACCATTCACTTATTGAGGGGATAGACAATAGTAAAGTACTATTCAGGTGTAGGCTTGTTGTATAGCTATTATGTGAGTGAGTGAGTGTCTGTATCAATGGGTGAAAATGGGTGGTTGGGTGTGGTATAGCCCTGAGCAGCCTTGATTGTTGTTTTGCACCCTAGGGACCATTTGTTCTTTTGTTGTTTTTCGTCTTTCTCTTTTTTTTTTCCCCCTCGTCCTCCTTCTTCAGCTGCAGCAGCATCTGTCGGATGTCTCTTGAACATCACACCTGAAGACGTGGTCGAGTGGCAATCGGTGGTGGTGAATCGATTCAGCCCAGCAGTGGCACGGTATCACACTAAGCCTATTTGGGAAGGAACCCGCACAGGATTTAGAGCCACTTCTTTCGACCTTCTCGTCCCTGTTGCTTGTGGCTGCTACCAAAATCATCCTGTCGAACCATTGCCCTCCTCCGGGCTCATCAAATCCCATTCATCTTCTCAAGCATCAGGAAGCACGTTGGTCACCCCTTTCACCTGTCTGCTTTCTCCCTTTCCCCCGCCCGCGCCGTGGCCTTTGCTGGTCAAACGGCCATGTCCCTCAGGAATCTCCCTCAACTTCCGGCAGTTCCTTCCATGAGACTCAACATCGCCCGGACTCGCTCAAAGACTTCGGCTTCTGCTTCTGCTTCTCTGGCAGACTCGGCGACCCCCAGTCCCACCCAGTCGACGCACGAAACCTGCACGTCTGCTGGGGGTGCCACGTCGGTGAGCGACCCTGATGATTACGCTGACACCCTGGCCGCCAAACCCGTGTCATCAGCAACCATGAGGTCCAAATCCAACCCCACAACCACAAACACCACTACTCCCGCCTCGGCTGATCGACGCAGTTCTCGTGGTCGACGAGCTTCTAGCCGTGTGCGCAAGCCGACTGCCAAAGCGCAAGCTCTAGGTAGCACTAAAAGGTTCTCGCCGCCACCGTCGGATACGATTATAATAGGTCGGTTATCTCCAAAGCCCACACCATCTTCCAGCAAGGAGCCATTGTCGAAATCTCCTGTGCCCAAAGAGACGCCTGAGAAGGCCCAACCACCCCCAAAGGTGCTGCAGACCCCATCGGCAGCAAATGTCAATGGAACCAAAACCCCGTCTCCCACTAAAGTCGCGGGCCGAGAGGTACCAGTTTCTGCTGTCGACACCCCTTCTCGGCGGACCTCCCAGAGGGAACGCAAACCCACCGCAAAGGTATTGTCAGAAACTGTGGTATCTCAGAAGCGTCCCGCTACCGACGAAGCCCAGGACGCTCCTCCCCGCAAATCCGCCAGACTCTCCCACTCGGCTGCTAGAGTCCCATCAAAGCTCCGATACTCTATCTCGGCTGAGAACAGTGAAGTGGATGATGTCGTCGAGGTCGAGCAGGCTCCTGAACCCGACGATACTTCCACCGAGAAATCCAAAATTGTCGTCTTAAAGTCCAAGCGACTAGCCGAAGTCTTTGGCCCTCCGCCAAAGCCAACGCCAAAGCCAAAGCTAAAGCCGGAAAGCAGCTCTCCTTCATCCAAGAGAAAATCAAAACGGAGGTCTCAACGCCTCATTGCCAATCGTGAGGAACCTGTTGCAAAGCCTGATCCAGATCCTCTCGAAATACCTGGTTCGTGCGATCTGTCTTGCCTTTCTCCGTCGTCCCGGCTACTGGCATTTGCAGAAATTGCCTTGCAGATGCCCGATGGGGAAGACGAGAATGAAGAAACCGTTCCCGGGAGTGTTTATGACTGGCGTATGTACACGCAGGTTTGGTGTCAGTGTGAGAAAGACGAGGACGCCCATTCTGATCGCACAGACTCGGTCGAGCTTGCACGAGCATTGATGCCAAACCCGGTCTCTTCAGGCACAATCTTTGACCCGATTGATCTAACCTCGTCAAATCCTCTCGAACCTGAATTGCTGTCGGCGCCTGTCAACACTATCCTCCGTGCAACGGACGCAGAAAGACTCTCTCAGCTCTACACTCCACCCAGCCACAACTCAAGCCAAACACCAAACGGCACTCCGGCACCAAGTGGCATGGGAACTCGGAATGATTATGGGGCTGGTGCCTCTTATCGACCCTCCGAGACCTATTCACCCGTCTATGAAGCGCCGAATCACAACGTGGTTTCCATACCTCACTCTGCGGCAACGAGACGAACATATGAGGATCGACTCAGGGATGATCACAACGCCCTGACCGACATCCGCAAGAGGGCGGCTGCCCGCGGGATATCGTGGAGTTTTAATATGACGTTCGACGATATCCACGCACTGATTATGGAAGCGGAAGAGCGGGAACAACAATTGCAACAACGAGTACAATATCAGCAGAAGGCCATGAGTCCACCACAGAATGTGATTGACCGTGCGTACGGACCCTCTGGTTCACAGCCTTCGCCCGCGCCTGGCGGATTTGGGGTGCTCTTGCCTCCAAGAACATCACACCGGGGACGAAGAGCTACGTTCGGTCCATTGGGTCCATCGAAGCGCAAGAGTAGTCTTGCAGCTCCTGTCGTCGCCAATGGAGCGGCTGAGGTGGTCCAAGAGCGACTGACGCCGAAGACTACGCACAGTAACATCAGCTTTGTCGAAGAAAACACATCACCGAAGCCTTTGGGAGACCGTCGACCTTCATCGTCGACTCGACCGAAGAGTTCCAGGTTTCGAGTGGATCCGAGGGGATTGCGAGGAGAATCTCCCGGACCAGGAACTATCATCAACATGAATGAGAAACTTGAAGCGGCCGAATACATGAGGCAGGCAGCGGAACGTGACAACCGTGGAAGGGCTTTGAGAGGGTTTGAGGGATATCAGAAGCGCGAGGAAGAAGAAAGAAAAGAGGGTTGGCCGAGAAGAGCAGCAGAGAGTCACAGATTGAATGGACATGGACACCATCGGGTTTGAACACTGGCGGGTTTACTGGCGGAGAGTCGAGCTGGTCGCTGGGGTATTACTACTATAGAGCATAGCGTCGGGTGGCATCAGGGCCTCGTGGAGACGATTTTCGACCACATCTTGTACACCAAGCATTTCATTGAGTTTTGTTTGTTTGAGGAGGGACTGGCAACAGCAACATGGCAACAAAAAACATTCCATAGACAATTATTCACCTATGGGACCATGGGGGAGTTTTTATGGTGAGGTATTGGAAACCTGGCGAGGTATTCATCAAACCACCCAAGATAATCACTTTTACATCGACCGACATGGCACGATATCCTATTATGTTGTAGGGTATTTATTGTCATGTTTGCGGCAAGAAAGCTACGAGGAAACACCGAGTATTTGTGGGAAGGACGCGGGAAGAAGTACGTTTAAGAAAAGTGAACTTGTGTGAAGTACTGGTAAGAGAGTGCTCGTGAGAGGACTGGTAAGAAGTAAGAGGTGTTTTCTACCTGCAAGTACATGATGTTCTGGGACACAAGACCAGACCAGACCAGACCAGACCAGATCAGATCAGATCAGATCAGACGGGACGAAGCCGGACAAGATGAAGCGAAGACGAGGACGAAGACGTTTGAGCTTCCCCCCGGATGTAGCGTTCACATTGGCCCCCCCAGTAGCTCCGTGGCTGCGTGGCCGCCGGCCCCTGAGTTTCCAAGTTGTTGGGCTCCCCCACCCACTTTGTCCACTTTGGTGAGAAAAGTAATAACAGGTAATCTCCATAGCGCGTTCTCGTCTATGAAGCGCGTCTCGCTTTGCAGTAATTACTCGGTACTTGTGTGCGTACGTGTGTATACATACATACGAGTATAGGTGGCATTGTTGTTGATTATTGGCATTGGATACTGTGTCGTCACACACGTATCGAGTACGGGGTGCCGAGTACTCGTCGTGTTAACTGAACAGTGGACTGTTTCTTCCGGGAATATCACCAAGGCTTTGGTTTCGGGAGTAGACAGACAAACAGACACTGGTTGGATTACTACAGCTATTCGTGGTCATCAAGGACAAGATCAAGTGCAAGTACAAGTACAAGTTTGTTGGTCAACCGGACACGCAACAATGGCAGAGGGACAAGTCCAAGTCCAAGGAGTGACGACGACGACAAAGAAACGGGGTCGGCCGGCCAAGAAACAAAGCCTTGATGATGAGGGAGTGGTGTTGTTGCAACAGCGGGAGAGCAAGACAGATGGCGCTGAGATCGAGATGGTTCAGGCCCTAAAACCGAAATCTCGAGGGAGGCCGAGTTCGTCAGCAGCGACGACGGCGTCAAAGACGTCTTCTCTGGCAGCGTCGGCGAGGTCGGGGAGAGCGAAGCAAGTTCCTACTACTGCTACTGCTGGTGCTGGTGCTGGTGGTGCCGCCGTCGAGGAGGAAGTGGTTGGTACCGTGTCCTCAGGAAGAGGGTCGGCGTCGGCCAAGAGGAAACCATCGGCTACTGCTGCTGCTGCTGCTGGTGTCAAGACTCCAGATGCTGCTCCCTCCAAGGCTCGCAAGTCTCCCGCAGCAAAGGTTTCTTCTAGCCAACCCGACACAGCGAGCTCTACCTCTACCTCTGGCTTGGCGACAGTGACGACGACAACAGTGGCGGAGAAAAAGACCAAGGCAAAAGCCGCAGCCAAAAAAGCAGAAACGGAAATCTCGTCACAAAAGACCTCGCAACAACCCGGCACGCCTCGCCTGTCAACCTCGACCTTGACCTCCAAGATCCTGGGCCACGCCAAAGCATTTTCCGAGAAATCGAGTCAGCTCCAGCGAGATATTTTACAACTTGTCAACGAGAGAGAAGCTCGGCATTTATCGTCGCGGGACATTGAAGCAGAGATACTTGAGATATCATCATCTATCCGTTCTGAGGCGGACGCAATATCCCCAGTACCAGCACCAGCGCCAGCTCTCGAGACTATTTCGACCGGCCATCGAGACTCGATAGGCGGGACATCGAGCATGCTGACTACGGCAAGCGCAGCATCGAACATGTATCACAATACCACTCTGACGAGTGACGCCGCCCATGTATTTCCCACCCAGACAATCGCCTCGTTCAGCCAACAACAACCACAACACTTCTACCCACCGCCCTCGGTCCTGTCCTCCCCCGTCGCCACCCCCCAAACCCAGCACCAAGTCCGCGGGTACTCGTCGACAAAAGCCCTGCCCATGTCCACCACCATCGCCCTCGCAGCCCGTCAGCAAAACAACCCCAACCCAAGTGGCGGCTCGAGACCGTCCATGCCACCACGCCCGACGATCCCTCCCGAGGTGCCCAACGCGCCGAAACTGACCGAGTTGCCGCTCGAGCAGTTGAAGAAGGATCCCCGGTACAGAAAGGCGTCCACGCGGTATACGACTTTTGTCGTGGCGCTGCCGTTTGCGATTGTCAGCAGTTATTTCCTGTGGGAGAGGTGTAAGTGCCCCCCCCCCCTTCTCCTTTCTTGGTTCATGGCATGAACTAATACTCCCAAACCACCTTCATCTATTCTTCCTCCTCCTCCCTCTTCCGTCCTTTACTCCTGTTCCAGATTTTGCCCACTCGTATCTATGTATATTGGCTAATGTACGCCGCCATTCCTTCGGGTTTGGTGGGTTGATTCGACAGATCGCGAACACCAGGAGTACTTGCAAAAAGTCCGTGAGGCCCGAGCTAGGGCGGCTTCGGGAATAGATGGATCGACCTCGATAGACAGAACAGAATGATCGAGGATAAGGAAGGTCGAGCAAGGCCTTGGTAGGCGCCGGATCAGACGGCGAGACCGGTTGGCAATGCAATTGCCTCGACTTGAACTCGATTTGAGGGGAGATGTGGCTGCGCGCTCTGCGCCGTCTTCGAGGCCCAGAGAGCCCATCTATTGAGAGCCTACTACCTCGTACAACAGAGTGCGCTGGGCGGATAGCGAGAGACATTCTTGCTTCCTTGCTTGCTAGCCAGAGGTTGAAACCAACTAAGACCCCCTACCGGTTATGTGCTCTCATGCCTCTACATCTTACATATTTTACATCTTACATATCTACGAGACGAGACGAGACGATATTTTCGAGAAATCGGAATCTGGACAAAAACACGAAACACTGCTGTTATCCACCACGCTCTGAGCCTCCATCACTGATGGATCGAATTTATTACCCTCCCTCCCCCCCCCCAAAAAACAAGATGGGAAGAGACGACGAAGACGATGGTCGAATGGAGGTCGAGTTGAATTGAACCGAACGGGAGGGAAGGTGGGACGTCATGAAAAGATGTATGAAAGATATATACATATATGTATATATGGAATGGACTCTTGGGAAACGGGGACGGATTTGGGAATAGGGAATAAATAGTCAATCGAGTCCCTCGATATATTGGAATCATGAAAAATGTCTCGACTCACTCACTTGACTCGGATCACTCATTCACTCACTCATAGGTCGCGAAATCGCTATATACCTAGCTAGCTCATGGCCACAGGTAGCGTGTGGTTTAACTGGCAAGTACTTGGAATGGACGTCTCGTTGGGAATTTATCATGCATCCGGCGAAGTTGGCTCATGACCTTTAGGTTCTCACAACGAACGAATGGACGAGGGGACGAGTGGAAAAAGACGACCGTCACCACAATCGCGAATGGACTTTGGTATCAATAGTGTCAATGGGGGGAAATCTATTCCACGCCACGCTCCCGCTCTTGATCACCAGGATGTGATTCCGTCCAGGCTAGGTAGACCTCGTCGCTGACACGGACTCGGACCCCCGAACTCCGCTAGATCTCAGGCAATGCAATGCTCGCGCCCTGCTCCCTGTGTCCTTGGTATCATTCATTTCATATCATGTCATTTTCCTCGGACGCTTTTGGTTCTCTGTGTAGAGGAAAACACTAATTCCAAATCCACAATTTTCTCTATTGAGTCACTTCTCCGTCTCTCCCTGTGTCGCAGCCTCCTAGGAAGAGTGCTCGGTCCTTGGGCTGGGCTGGGCTCAGAGTTTGCTCTCAAACGAGCAGGCACCCTCCCACGCATCACCAGCCTCGAGCTTCGTCCAAGAGCTCACGGTACCCGGTTCTATGCACAGATATCTCTTCCACCCGTCCTTGGGTTCAAAGTCACCCATGCCCTTGATCTTGTCTTCCCACCCGTTCCACACCGTCACGTCCGGCAGTGCATCCCGCGTGACCACAAAGGTGTCCTGGCCGTTCTCCGTCACCGTCAAGGGCACGAGGGTGTTGTCTTTCGCATCGCTAGGAGGAGTGTAAACGCGGTCTGTCTCGCCGGTGAAGGAGAGTGAGGAGGATTCTTCGGTAAAGGTCTGGGCGGAGCGGACCTTGTCGACGTAAGGCGAGGATTGGAGGCCGCGGACCGCGGTTTTGTGGATATCCTTTGGGCACAGTTTAGTCACACTCTTGTCCTTACCGTGGGCCACGACTTCGATTTTTGAGATCTTACCTTGACAGCCAGGTAGGTGTGGAACAAAACCTGGAACTCAAACGATTGATCACCCTTGTTCTGCACATGCATTTGGCACTCCAGCTTCCCTTTGCCCAGGGTCACGCTGTACACCAACCCAAAGTCGAAAGGCCACTTCTTCCGCACGCCCTCGTCGAGCATCGACGAACTCAACCCAAAGTCGAGTTTGACACTGTCGTCGGCCTTGCGCCCCAGGGACTCGCTGCTGCTCTTCCCCAGAAATTCCCAGTAGCTGTTCCTTGCAAACCCATGTTGGGGTAGCTGGCCAGTGGCGTGGGATTTCGGGGGAGGCCCAAAGACAGGAAAGACAAGTGGAATACCGCCGCGGATGGGTTTTGAGCCATCCAGTGCTGCGGCAGAGGAGAGGAAGAGTTGCTCGGCACCATTGGACGTCTTCCACGAGGTAACGGTCGCTCCGTAGAGGTAGACTGTCACCGAGTCACCACTGGGTAGCCGAGCTGTGAGCACATTGTCTGAGAGGTCAACAATGGGTTGAGCCATTAGGGGGGACACTGGGATGGAGGTGGGCTTGTTTTTGCGTTCCATGGCCGAAGAGGCGGTGGGGGAGGGGCAGTGGTTAATGAAGAGGATGGGGAGAGCAATCAGCCTTGGAGATGCTCCTCGTTTCGTCCAGGGATGAGAGATTGGTTATGTCACCGTCTGTAGCTGAGAGAACGGAGAAGAGAAATGTGTCCAAAGTGGAAAACGCATCCAGACTTCTGACTTGATCTCGCTCACACATCGACTGCGAGATGAAAAGATGCCCCGGGTGTGAGTTTCGATTGGTTGGCGGGGGGTCACTGCAGCCCGGAACGAGCTATGACGCATTCAGCCTTGCGACAGAGTGGAGACTCGACCGTTTGAGAAGGTAAAGTCACTGACACGATGCTGGTGATTCTGTAATAGCTCGCCACATCTTTCACTGAAACGTGTCTGTACCGAGTACAAATGGGTTCTTCAGCATCAAAGGTCGCTGGTCGAGCCGGAGGAGCTGCAGCTCGCCGTCAATATCCTTCAACGCCTTCCATTGTCAACTCCGCCCCTTCACCTGCCGATCCTGCAAGAAAACCTACTCCCGCAGCCGAAGTGCATCCCAATATAACTGCTGCCCCTCCCGCAGGCGAAAAGACTGAACATGTAGAGCTCGATGCACGAGATCCACAGTTCGGCTCTGCTTTGCGCCGAGTTGGGGTGGCCAGACCTGTGACGGAGAGAAGACCAGACGAAGACACCTTCCCAACCTCGAGCCAACCTATGCATTCCGGACAAAACATCTTCCCATCTGACGCGAACAATCCCGCCATGATGCTTGTCCACGCCAGAAAACGAATCGCTGCCCAATGGGAGTCGGAGCTGGAAAACCAAGGCCGGCCTGGCTTCGCGGGTAGAACGCTGCTGAGCGTAAAAGACATCAAAGAGGCTTTCACATTAAGAGACGAGTTGGGCAAGTCCCCTCAAGAGATAGAAAAACAGATGAGGTTGAAACCGGGAGTGCTTGACCAGTTGGTGGCAAAGGACGTGGTGGCCAATGTTTGAAGAGCTGGCTCAAACCGCACCGTGTCAGGTCAATAGAAGGGGAGGCAGAAGGACAGCTACAACGTTGCGTTGTGATGCGAACAACTGCCTTCTTAGCGGGACAGTTGCGCGCATGGATCAATGAGTCTCAAACTGGTTTTGGTTGAAGGCTCTGCATAGCCATTTCAGTCAAAACAAAACCCCACAATCTCCTGCACCGATGGATGCTCGTCTCGCATGGATCTTCATTCATGCCTCATGGACAGCCAAAGCGATGAGTCAATCACTGACGCATAAACTGCTTCCTGGAAACCATTGTCCCGAAAACCACATCGAAACAGTCTTTTTCTGCCCTCTGTTACGAGCTGCTTTACAGGAGCGCCTAATGGCACAATCCGACCACCTTCGTTAAGGCACCTTTCGAACGTGTTGCAGCGCCCATTGACAGGAGATGTTGGGTGGGGAAAGCGACCAAGAAGTTGCCCACAGAATTGCAAGTAGAACTGCATCTCTAATCACGAGACGCTCTTGGCAATACATTGGGGGCGCCGAAAGTCATATCCCCGATATCACGACGACTGGAAAAGCCGCGCTAAGCAATTCCTCAGCTGCGAAACCGCCAGGAATTGAGGCACCTGGAAAATAACCCTGTCGAGGATGACGAACGTGCCTTTGAAGATCAGTTATTTCAGGGAACAACTGATGGTTTCATTGCAAGCATCTGCGACGCTCCTCGAACGCGGAAGAAGGTGATTTAGAAGACTTGTCCATGCACATGGAGGAGGATAATGTGTCAGATATCGAGATTATAGAATTCAGGCTGTACACAGAACTATTTCCCTATCTCAATCCTAGATATCTTTCTCCTAACGTCACCTAATTCGGCAGAGATGTCTTCCATGTTGACAGATGTATTTACTGTAGTAGATAGCATACCTCTTAACCTCCCATCTCTTGCTTCGCTCGCTATCTACTTCCCAAGGCCGCAATCCCCTCATCGTTCTCGTCTTCCTCTCGGTCTGACTGCTGCTGCCTCGGTCTCACAACTTCCCACCCATGGCTCTCCTCCCAATGCCCTGCTTCGCCTGACCCTGGACGAGATCCTCAATCTCAATCTCACTCGTACACAGGATAAACGTATCTTCCAACGCCGGGACCCGGTACTTCAAGTTCACGGCCTGGTAGTCTTCCGAGGCCAACATGTCGCCGAAGTGCAGTATCGAGGGATAGCTCGCGAGAGCGAATTCGTCCCACTTGCCGCCGGACTGTTCGGGTGGAGTCTGGTGCGTGATGTTGCCGACCAACTTGGCGTTGCCGCCGCGACGGGCGCCGATGGACTCGGCGAAGGCGGCGCCGTATTTTAGGTAGGACGGCTTCATGCCCTGCTTGAAGGCTAGCAGGTTGAGCATGGACAAGGGCGACTTGCCCGCCGTGGTGTGTGAGAACTGTTGGATCCACGACTGCAGGTCCGTGCTGAGTTCGAGCGTCTGGGACGAAGTCCCCAGCCGTGGCTTGTCCAGCGACCCGGTCAGTGCTGGGACCTCCGAGGCGGGCGGGTGCAGCAGTTTATCGTTCCTCTGAGCAAAGTCGTTGGTCAAGCGGCTGGGGATTCCCGTCGAGCATGTCCAGTGGCACACTATCTTCTCCTTCACAGATGGGGGCAGGGCATCAGCGCCCAGGACCATGAGGAGCACATCCCATGGCTTTTTCGGGTGGAGGAGCGGGTCGGCATCGATCTTGGTCGGTCTGATGATCCAGCGAATCACTTTGGAGATTACCAGCGGTTGCAGAGACGAGTTCTTGACACTGCTGAGGAACTCGGGTAGGGCAGTTGAAGGGGAGAGGGAAACGAGATGGATCGTCGCGAGAGGCATCGTCACAACCAATTTGTCCTACGCGCTGTATCAGAGGGGGAGAGGTCCGCGATAGAGAGAAGAAGAGCAGAGAATAGACAATCACGGCGCCTGGAGTGTTAGCAACGCGAGAGGAAGAAGAAGTAAAACCACCTGGGCCATGTCGCAAGTCGGAACCTGTACCTTTGAAAATGCGATTACTCGATCATCCAAACTTTGGAACCTTTTCAGCCTCGGTCCATCAGCCAGAGCGTACACATTTTGGAGAAGCGAAGCCAATTCCGATCAAGGCTATACAAGTGGGGATCCCATCTAATCTTATCAGAGAATCTTTTTCAATTTCTCTCTGCGACTGCTCGAACTGGCAGCGGTTGAGCGCCTTCATCTTGCGGTTATTTCGCCGCACAACCAATATACTCTTGTACTAGAATTCTCGCTTGTGAGAACTCGAATTGAATTCTTGTTTGTTGGCTTACACACCCCGCACAAAAAAAGGACAACAGGGCACAACAGCATCCAACTTTCGTCGCATTCTCATCTGTCCCAATCCCAGCGATGGCCTCTTCAGCAGGCCTGACACCTCTACCTACATCGGTGCACCACTCTACCACCCGCCTGACACACTCCCAAGCACACTCTTTCCTCTCGGAATTCCTCGACCGCGCGGAAAATGACGCCGCATATAGACCGGACAGCACACTGACAGACCGTGGGCCGCAGGCCCTGTCTAGTGGATCGACACCCAACTTGACGCTCAGTCACTTGAAGAGGATCTTGAGCGGGATGGAGGGGAAGCGGATCGGTGGGAGTCTTGGTCTGGAAGAGGAAGCGAAAGGAAAGAGTGAGAATACTGGAGACGACGAAGAGCTCGGAGGATTGGGGGAGTCGGATGAGGGTCAGACACCGCGGAAGAGGGGGAGCCAGAAACGCGCACTGGACGAAGATGAGGAAAACGGGGACCCACAAGCCCCGGGATCCAAGAAGCAGAAACGCAAAATCATCTACTCAAGCAACCAAGAAGGCGTCGAGGACCCGCAAGTTGGCGCTGAGGTTGAGGCCGAGACGGCGCTAGATCAAGACCGAGGGGAGGACGACTGGCAAGATGCAGAGACGTATGCGCTCGCCCAGACTGGACTGCGTGAGTACGACACCGCCAAAGACGAACCTCAACTTGAACTCGAGGTGGAAAACATCGACGGTGAGCGGGACTCGGAAGAACCAGAAGCTGTAGAACGCGACGATTCCAATGCAGCTGAGCAGCTGATGCAGACAACAGCAAGGAAACGTAAGCAGCGAGAAGTCGACGAAGATGCAGATGCAGATCGTGGAGCACAGAAGGCGAACAAAAAGAAAGCAAAGGACACAGGCACAGCCAAGCCAACGGCGACGGCGACGAAAAGCAACCAAGAGGTGAGCAAAGAGGAGAGAAGGAAAATGAAGAAGATGCGGCGGAAGGATGAGAAGAAGGAGAGACAACGGGAGAGGGAAGAGAAGAATAAGAATCGGTAGAACCAGGTAGTGGCTGAGATGGACAATCGGGTTGGTTTCGAGAACATACTCGGCCTGCTATACGAGCTGGGACATCGAAGACGACGAGTCCTATGGGATCTATTCTCAAAATCCCCTATATCCTTTCAGCTCTCCTTCCAAGACACATGTTGTTCAGAGAAGCGGATGCTTAGGCATATGAGCTCGCACAGACCTCGAAATACAATAGAAGGTCTCCTCCGTCCTCTTGATATGGAGGCACACGAAGCAAAAGCAATGAGAATGATGTTGATGTACATTGTGGCCATGGCTTATGAACCCACATTCCCGAAAGTACTTGATCAGCTCACATAATATCCAGACAGGTGCAGCAAAGTTGACAAGAATGTCGCCGCGCTCATGGAAAGGCAAGACGTTGTTCTCACACGCTCCAAGCAGCTCACTCAATATGAACCCTTTCACCTGGTCTTCTTTCCCTCTCTCCCACTGCTTTGCCTTTTTACCGTGGGGCTGGAAGCTTCGCTCTCTTTCTTCTCGCGCTCTGCCTTCTCCTTGGCCTCGAACTCTCTCATGGCATTTTCGTCTGCCCGGTCTGCATACCATTGACCGAACTGCAACACCAACACTCCCACAAGTACCAGCGCCAGGATGGTATTACTGGCAGCCAACACCTTCAGGTTGTCCTCGCGTCCAAGAACGCTGTCGCCCGAGGTTACATCATATCCGCCTGAATTCACTTCATCAAGCTCATCCTGTGATAACTTTTCCATGCCTAAACCGTAGGTGCCATCATTGACAATCCTCAACCCCTTGACGATGTTCGCAATATACACAATCACCGCAACCATGTACAACACCAAACTGCCACCATCAAAGAGCAGGTTCGATTCGCTGGGTTTGTAAAGCTTAATAACAAGGCCCAAGATGCCAACGCCCAGCATTATGTGTAGAATGCGCACAATCAGATTCGGCGCATTGTGGAGAAGTTTCAGGTGTGCTTCGATGGCGTCAAAGTGAGAGGGTGGTGTGGGCAGGGAGGACCATAGAAGTGGGTAGTCGTAAGGGAAAAGAGAAAAGACGATGCCCAGGAAGAAGGAGACCGCTGCGTCACCAACATGTCAGCGCTCTCAAAGCGACCTGCGCCGGGGGAAAATTTAGATTGGTCTTACGGCAGATGATGAGGAAAGTCGCAAACGAGACCGATGGCATCTTGGTGAACTGGTGGTCGCAAACTCGGACCAGTCGCACGGCAGGTGAAGACGAATGAAGGGTTGAAGTTCAGTACAGGTTGAAAGCGGAACAGCCCAGCTGCCACTATGGTAGACACGCTGTCACGGTGTGTGTGAGCTGGTAATATTCGTTGCTGTGTTTCAATGCGACGGAGCGGTAGAAGATGCGTGTCAATCTGTGGAACAGAGGGAAGACGATATGAGAAGAAACGCAGTTGAACGTGCTCCAAGGCCACAGATTTATGCAGATATAGTCAAACGGAGAGCTGCGGCGGATTAGGAAGCAAGCGCACAGGTCGCACAGGAAATGCTCGACGATCAAATCTACTGCAGGATGATGTTGCATTTACTTTCTCGACAAACCGTAGTGAGCGATAACGATAAGGCTGCCCAGCCGGATGACTTGTTTCTCCGAAGTCCGATGGGTCTTTGTCTTTCAATGACTTCCTCCATGACCACGCGACGTCGATATTTGACAGTAACGACCTCAATCTACGTGCTGTTAGCCCTGCCTATGCCTTGGGTACCTCCCATGGCAGGGGCTGGGACCATGATTCGCCTGTCATCAACAAGCTGACCCAGGGTTTCTACCCTCTTTGTTCTGCCCACCAATTGGAAAGCTCCACGCAGCAAGGTGTACTCGGTAAGGCTATCAAGGCTATGTGAACGTACCGTTGAGGCTGAGGCGAGTCGAACCTCGTTTCCCGTCTCAGCCTGATTTGCATTTCTTTCCTCCTCCCACCCCTCTCCCTCTTGCTGTTAGATTGAAGCCATACATGCTTTGTTTCAAACGCCGAACTTAATATGGAAGCTGTAGGATTTGCTGCATCTCTGTTGACTCTGGCGTCTACCATCATCCAAGTCTCCACGGTCATAAGAGACTTGAGAAGGAACTACGGCGAATGTCCCCAGGCATTGATAAACCTAGCATCCGCCGTGGACGAGCTCGAACGCCTCATTACTTACGTCAAAAGCGTCGACGAGACGCGCCTCAAAGACCATGGAGATCTTGACAAGAGGCTTTTCGGAGACTCCGAGGCTTTGGTGGATAAATGCAGGCAGGATCTATCTGCAATTCAACAAAAGTTGGGCCAACTCAGTCGTCCTGCAGAAAAGGGGTTTCGAACAAGACTGCAGAAAGCCCTGAAGAGGCTGAATCATGACCGTGACATCGATAATTGGTGGCATCAAGTCTTGCACTATAACCAACTTTTCTCTGGCCTCTTGACGAGAATTGCGATGTACGGCTGCAGACTGAACAAGGTCCATGACATTCTCTGACGCATGCGATAGGAACGAAAATCGCCTCAACTCGAATAACCGTATTGGATCACTCGAAGATACAGCCATGGCACAATTTGCTCAAGTTTCTTCTCATCTGGATGACGTCCAGTCGTTCACAGCACTACTGCCTTCAATCCACATGAACCTCCAATCCCAAAGGACAGTTGCGGATCGTATTGCAGGAAATCAGGAGGCGGAAGGCCAAAGGATCCGTGCTATCCAGCAGGCTCTATCGCAACATGCTGTCGATTCTCTCCAACATCGTCAAACGGCTCTTACAGCATTTTCCGATATTCACTCAAAGCTTGACGACCTACGAGGAAATGTAGCACAAACATTGCGCATGTCACGACAGGACCAGAATATATTGAGTGATATCTGTGTAGGTATTAAAGAGTTGCAACGTAACGTGAACGACCTCGACTGGAAGTTCTCGAGATGCGAGAATGCCGAACAGAATACGACAGCGCGACAAGCCTCATCTTCGATCCTCCAGATGAACGATACTTTTGCAGCCAGCTTTCTTCGCCTCATCCAATTGACCGAGCAATCCATGAACAAGATATCGTCATTCACACTCAAGGCCACTGTCAAAGATCTAGTGCAGATTTTGGATTACATGAAAACATTGACACAATCAGGCATCTGCCTTCCCGGGTTAGTCAGTGGATGGGTCTCAGATGACCTCGATGTTGTGCGAAGCATCTTCCAGCTGACACAGAGGTTGGAACTTGTAAATCCTGGTGGTCAGTTCATCATATGATTTCATGTCTTCCATGTTGCCATGTGCTAAGCAGAGTCACTAACTCAGCAAAGGATCAGGGGAGAGTTCCTCAGACACGAATGCGGGCAACCCCTTGCAACCACTGAACCTCACCACACCTCCAACGCCGAATGTCCGAACATTGGTAAGGACGCAGTTTATAACCTTGGAAACAGCCATAGGGCGTCTCGATCTACTTCTCAAACTGTCAGAATCATATGCAGGCGATTCTAGTGCCCCAAGGAATACCTCGGAAAGCAGATTTCTTGCCAAAATGTCGCTTCTACCAGGGGCAATTCTTGCACAGAAGACTCTGATTACGTTTCAGTGCGAGCAGCTACGCTGCCTGGGGCAAAGCATTCTGAAGCCAGCGGGCTTGTCATTCAAGGCAATCAGGAAGAGCGGTTCACGAGTATTCCGTATTGCAGAATCTGGTTCTCCGGATGACATGGCAAGGCTCTTTGCGAGTGGAGAAGCTGCAATCACAGACTGCGATCAACGTGGTTGCTCTCTGCTTGGTGTAAGTCAGAAACAAACTGCTGAATATGGCGCTGACGTTGTAAGTATGCTCTGTACAGGATCAATCCAAGGATGGTCAAATTTCTGATCGCCTGCGGCGCAGATGTCGATGCATTCGAACCGCTACTTAAGTGCCGAAAGAAAAGTCTCCGATTTAGTTCTATGTAGGTCAAACTGGGTTCCATAATACCTCCTTGGTCGTTTATCGTCACGACGGCAATTTGGGTTGGGCACTGATATTTCGATCACAGCCCGGTTGCAATGCAGGGAATCCCTCATGCGCATACATCCTCTTCAAAAGTAATCCACCTCTCCGATGAGAACCTGAAAGCTTTAGCACAAGCAGGGGCCGACCTTACATGCAATTTCAGCCACGTACCTCTTCTATTCATATCGTTGTTATTGATGTCGTCGCGGGTGAGTATTATGCTAGACCGAGAGAGGAGAGAATGCTCACTGAAGATAGCAAAGCTTCCAGATGATGCTCGACTATGCGGAGCCGTTCGTGACCCCCAAATCAATAATGGACTTGACGTTTCGTCCTCTGGAGTTATTGATAAAGCTCGGTGTTAGATGGTACTCGGCAGAAACGGCCTCCAAAATCGCGTTCATGATCTCAAGAGGAGCTGATCCGTGCTTCCTCAGCAAAACAGGTGAAAGTTACCTTCATGAGATCCTCATAGCGAGGACCATGTATCCTGGGACGATGTACGAAAGCCTTGTCACCAAAACGCACGATGGGGAGTTGAAAGACATGCTAATGCTCCTGGTCACCGCTGGTGCGGATGTTTTCGCGGTGAACTGTTCAGGGGAGAGTGTTTCAGATGTGGCAATCAAGACAGGACACATTGTTGAATGGAAGGAAACTCTGGAGGAGTGCGGCTACGATGTATCAAACGTTCTCAACCACAGCGACGAGCATGATGAGGTCCCTCGCCAGCACCAGCAGCGCCCTTTACTCACATTCGCCGAGTATCTCCGAGTGAGAAAGTCGAGGCTACTCAACCTCGAGGTTGGAGAGGACGAAACCCCGCAGGAAGTCTACAGAAGATATTACAAAACGGCTGTACCAAAAAATTTGCGCATTAAAGAGATGGACAGCAGCGACAGCGGTGACAGCGAGGAGGAAGAATATGAGGACGACTTTGGCGAGCAAACCGATAGCAACTCTGACGCCGAAAGCTTCCACACGACAATGGAATCGGCCAACGAAGGCACTTGATTGAGCGGAAGAGCATCAGCAATAGGTAATGCTTCCTAGCAAGTCGGTCGTTGTTGATATGGTGTCTGCATGAACGTGGTGGAAAGAATACAGGTCAACCCTAGCACTGCTAGTGCTTCCCAGACTAGAAAGGAGTTACACACAGGCGCAACACACCGAGTACAGACACAACATAGACATATCGCGTCAAAGCGGCAGGGTCTCTACCTTTTTGGCACGGGAGTCTCTCCCAGCCTGCTCAAGTTGGGAGGATGTGTCCATGTCTAAGGAAAAAGCTTTGTTCCCCAGCCACACACCTCTTGCTTGCGATGGCTCTCCGGACCATTCCATCCGGAACGGCGCCACTGCCGTTGAAACCGGGAAAGATAAAAGCAAACACGGCTGCGGTTCGGGAAATGACACGAGTCTCTGCACACTAGATTCCAGCAGTCACACTCTTTTCCAGCATCACAGCGGGGCCAATGTCCGGGAAGTGGATGCGGGTGCAGCATGCGAAGATCTCTCGGCTTGGGCTCAGTGACCCAGGTCACCAGGTCTCCGATCGCCAGCGTGAAATCTGATCAGTCGGGCATCCGGGGGTGACGAGACACTGGCATGGCGTGCAGAAGGCACACCTTGTGCGAGTAAGCACACAAGGAATAATTGAGACCAGGCTTAAAGCACAATGCAGAGCTTGTGCTGTTGGCGAAGGTTTTTGGGAGGGGTGGTGTGGAGTGGTAAGCGCGCTTCAATCGGCTTTTGATATGGTCATCGGGGGAGAAGGGGAAGAAGTTGTCACCTTCAAAGAGGTCATGCAGGCCGCGCCGCTTGTATGCAGAATATCGATAGTTTGGGCGATCTGGCAGCTGGCACGAGGGACTGCGGCAGCCCTTGGCCGCAGTCTGCATGCGTAGAGATATATTCGTTCTGGTCAATAGATACGAATTGTTTATGCGGGTGGGCATGCGTCCAGACTGGTTAAGGCTGGTCACACATGGCTCTACGAGACTAAGTAATTCTGAAGATACGGCCCCCTCCACCTACTATTGGTATGGTGGATTCGAGCGTATGTTCCGCATTGCAGTGGGAGCGATTGGTCGAGGAGTGCGGCACATCCAGACACGCATATCCGTACACCTGTGCAGAGAGCGAGAGAACGAGGGAGCGAGGGACGAAGGGATCCGGTGTCCAGGTGCGCGAGGAAGTGGGGGAAGTGGTTACGAGTGCTCATATGCATACATACACATGTCGGTAGATCCCAATCCAGAGGCGGAGAGGAAACAAGGACAAGTACCAAGTAGTGGCTCGGCTGGGTGGTCGGATGGCTGGATAGATGAGTGCGTGGAAAGGTATCATCTCCCCGAACTAGTCTTTATTGCTTCATGCAGACACACACACCCACACAGTCAAAGGCTTTGATCTTTTAGCTTCTACGAGTACACAGGTGGGGAAGAACGGATTCGGATACGAGTCACCCAGTACGTAGGCACCTGGGCGGCAGGCCTGTCTGTGATGTGATCACTAACCATTCACTTGTTGGATGCCATGCTCGCGCTGCTCGAGATTGATCATCTACGAGGAGCGGCTAATGGCTAATATGCATCGTTTGGTTTCTTCTCACCATCGCTCTCCACTCTGACTTTCACGTCTGGATCTTTTTTACCCCTCTACGACTACGAGTATTGTCCAGGGCGTAAAACCAGCCAATTTCACCAATGCTGCACCATCTCTTTGGGTAAATGATTCTGCTAACTATGTCCTGGTAGGTAGTACTCAACGGTGGCAGGTAGGTGAAAAAAGCCACAATTTAAGCGCCCGCCCCTTCCTTCACTTCCCTTGCCTTACCTTCTTCCCCGGTATCCCCCAGTCCAGGCAAAGTCCGCCGAGGCTCCGATCCTTTTCCCATTCATTACTCTGGGGACTTGGGATGTATCGGCTATTGGCTCAGCGTTGTCCATTTTTGGATTGTGGAGGAGGAGAGGCATGCAGAGGGATGCGTGGAGAGGCACGAAGAGTAGGTAAGTAAGTGAGAAGAAGCAAGGCAAGGGCAATTAAGCAACCTAAAAATAACGATCCGGGTGCCCCCCTCAGTGGTCTGAGCCAATCACACCGTTTTGGAATTGACCGGTGTAAAACAGGTTCAGGTGGGGAGTTTGGAGTGATAGGCCACGAGCGCTCGAGGAGCCGCCGGACCCAGAAAACAAGCCTCCCTCCACTTTTGGATTGAGAGCGAATAAACAATTCTCCTGCCACTAGCGCGGTTCCAGCGTTGCGGTAACAGCGGGGCGGCCGGGCTCCTCCCGTGTCTCACCATCCAATCGACGCGGGTTCGAAGCACGCTAGAAGAAACTCGGGAGTTTTGTCTGGAAATTTACTCGTGTTCCCTCTTCCTCGTAGAGAAGGGTAGGGTACTACCGACTCTGTTGATCCTGGCACACCTTACAGAGGGAGGGTGCGTTGGCAATTTAGAAGAGTCGAAAAGTCAAATCAGGCGAGAAAAGCCAAAAGGAGGTGCACTAACAACTTCTTCGTAAGAGATGGTAGGGAGGGGGTGATGTCAGCGCCCGCCGCCAAACCCGATGTCTCTTTTCTCGCTGCTTTTGTTGTCTCCCCCCTCCCTCCTTTTTCTTGCCGCGTCTCCAGATTCAGAAGGAAACAGGGAAAGATTCGTCTTCCCCCTAATAATGGACCCCGTCGCTCGCTCGCTCTTCACTACCATTGTAGGTACCTTCCGCTGTGATATCTGCGGGCGAGATACTTGTTCATCAACAGCCCCCTGCATAGGGGTTGGGCCAAGGACACCCCAAGGTGGCATAGAGCTTCGAGCCATGTCTTCTTCTGCAGTTGATTATTACCCCTGAGAATCTCCCTGCATCCTCGAGGCAGTCATGTTCACTTGTCTGGGTCACAGATATGTCCCTTTCGTCAGCCTAGATTTGTTTGGTTTGTGGGGGACTTTCCTTCACAAACAAAAGTACAGACGGACATGTCAAAGGAATCCCCTTCTTGGTACAAAGTCGCTTTTCATCACCGCCCCCTCGACTGGCGGACCATCCGTTGAGGCTCGCGGCTATCCTACCAATAGGAATATGAAAACCACCTTTTTCTGGCTGACCCCAACCTAAAGATTTCGTGGATGATGTTATACATAGTATACTCGTACAGAGCTCGATAGCCCCTCCAGTTGCTTCTTCTCAAGGCTTTTCCTACGTAATCCCGTAACCACCCTCAACGAATCGAACTGCTTCCACACCCCAAGCCGCCCAGGTGGATCGGTGATCGAGCAGCAGTCGTGGCCCACTCATATTGCGAGCATTTGGTCATGACTGGCGGCGGCTGGAGATCCTCATGCCACGTTTTCTCCTGAAGCCTATTTTGCGTCCATGGCCCCCGGAAGGCCGCAATGCTGGACGCGCACTGGCCGACAACAATAGACTCGGTACTGTAAACTTTTTCAACATAGTTTCATTTATTGGTTGGTTTGCGTCTTGCTTCCCAAGTGTGCGGGAAAGAACATGGCTTGTTCGGCTTCCGCATCAAGACTCTTGCGAATCTCTGTGAGCCCTTGCCCTGCTCTGACCGCAGAATCCGGCTGCGGAGTCAAAAATGGGTGTCCCACCAAAAATCCTTCAGTGCTTTTCAGAGTTCCGCCTCGTAACCACCCTTCCGAATCGAAAGTCTCGTAAAAACAATCCCAGCAAAGCCTGCCATATCCCATTCGTGCATTGTTTGTAAGATACCAAATGCGTGCTTCAATGTTTCGTCTCAACTCCTCGAGTTCGGTTCGTTGGTTTGCGGTTTCTTAACGCCGAGCACCTTCGCAGAATCATGTAGTGTGGTATCACGTATAATAAAATCGATAGCAAAGTATGTCGTAAAACCCGTGATATTCCTTTTTCCGAGGGCGTCACAGAGATCAATGCGTCTTCAGTGAAACCTCTGCGAAATTCCATTAAAAGTGCCATCACACTATGGCCGATGTGTGAACGACCACGTTATGCGACAGCAGTCGTGGGGGGACTGACTACCGCCGGACTAGAGCTGGCCGATGCAGAAGGGGAACTGATGGCACTTGTCTGTGAATCGATCAGAGTTGAAGGGAAGTCAATAGCCTTGATGCCGGCAAAGTCCTTCGAGCTGGGTGGCGGCGGCATGTCACTGGCGTCGGTTTTGCGTTTCTTTCCCTTGGGTGCCGGGTCGAGGGGCGGCGACCGTTTGTATGTCACTGTCCTCGTCACAACAGATCGAACGTTGACCGACTTTGGACATGCACTCCTTGGCGCCTCGAAATACCGCCGTGTCGCGCTCTCACAATTCCAGTCAGCTGGCGAGAATGGAGAGTAGACGCCGCCAGTGCTCATGCCGCTCATGGCAGTGCGCGGAGAAGGCCCAGCGGTGGATGGAGAAAAGGCTGGAGAATGTGGAATCCGCAGCCGCCTCAGGTGAGTAGGAGTTTTGCGAGCGTACGGAGTCGGTGGGACGGAACTGGATGGCGACTTGTGGCTTTCGCTTTTGCTGGAGGAAAGACTGGAAGACGTAGATGCGTTGGATATCAAGGAGTGTCTGGTGCATGTCGACTCGTCCGACAACGACCTCTGCAGACCGCTGCTCACTGGAGGACTGGCCAGGACAGGAGTCAGAGCCTTGAGGAACTCGGTGTAGGCAACGGGCGGTGTAATGGGAGTGCTCAGACTCGCATTCTCTTGCTTGACCACAGCGGAGACGCATGAAATCGGTGTCGCGACAATCTCGGAGGGGAACGACGCCGTCTTGGGGGTCTGAAGAGGAGGAAGGACTGGTCTGGTTACCGCGGGCATCTTGACGTCGACAACGAGAGAGTCGGTCGTGGAAACCCTTGCTGGTTGATGCTGGCGTGCAATGAAAAGGTAGTCGACGGTCGAGGGCCTGACGGACACCAGCGTAGGGAGGAAAGGATCGTGCCGTGAAGAAGAGAAGGGAGGGAGACAGGCGCACGGGGACGAGCAGGTCAGGCAACGAGGAGAGAAGGGCAATCTATTTCTGGGCGAGGGCAGCTTGCACAGCAGCGCCAACTCTTCTTGCAGTGGTACACAAATCCTGACCAGGATGAGGCCAGCTCTGTCACCGGAGCGTGTCCCAGGTGCAGTAGTCCTGTTGTTCGCCGGGTGGTAGTGAGGGAGCTATGACTGGAGGTCTCGTTGGCGCGTAACAGAAGGGTATCCGTGAAAGGGACTGGCGCGGGAGGGGTTGGTGCGAGGGTTGAATGTTTGGCAAGGAGAGTGGATGACTTGAGGCGCCTGATGACAGTTTGGACGATTGACCCGACTCCAGGTGGGCCGTTCGCAAGAAGTGGGAATGGTTGGATAGAGACGGGTTGAGGCAGAGAGAGAGATGAAAGAGATGGGGAGGCCCGTCACTGGGTGGGCAGATCGATATGGTCGGGCGTTAAAACAGCGAGAGAAGGGACCCTGTTGCCGCCCGGCGGCAAAAAGTGGAGCCGGAGCCGGTGGAGTCCGACAAGGGGAGGCGGAGCGACTGGTAGCGTTGAAGGGGTTGATGGTGTTGATTGGTGCTCGACTCAGCCAGCTCTTTCACTGAGGAGCAATGCTGATTCGATGGGGGGTCCCGGTAGCTGTGACTTGCCAGCAAGACTGCAGCCGACCAGCTGAATGTTTGATTCTCGTTTTTCTGCCTGTGCGTCTTCTCGCCCGTCAATTCTAGTGGTCGGCGTTGTGGTCTTGCGGTCAGCTCGCTGTATTGTGACTTGATAGGGCCGAGCTGAGAGTCCAGATGGCCTTGAGGCTTGCCTGCCGTGTTCCGTGGTAGAAGTTTGTTGTTGACGGTGCTTCTGCAGGAAGCCCACTGTGCCTCACTAAGAAATGGGAGGTCAAGATGGAAAGAGAGTGCAAGGAGGTCAGTGGTCTCTCCCTTCCATCTTGCACTGGGCCTCGATTTTATCTATTACCCTGTCAAGCCGCTGACCACCTGGCCGTCCCAGTTACTCGGGACTGTTGCCAGGCTCGCTGGCTGCTCTACACTTTCGGTCGTGTTGATGATTCGTTCCAGCTTCGAAGCACACAAGAAGGCTGACTGGTTAGCTTTTGTAGCCTTGAGCGCGCGGCATCTCCCTCAAATGATCATGTTATTGATCTCAGTTGGGCGCTATAGCACGTCCACTCACTGACTGGTCAGCTCAAATTCTTCTATCCCGTCCCATACGAATACCTCGTACCCGAGCGCGCGCAATTCCTTCGGCATCCAATGGCTCCAATCTGAACATTGCGCATTGAAGCAAGTTACGGTTGTCTCAGATAGTCATATCTACTTCGTCCAATCAGCCTCTCGCCTGCCTGAGGGAGGATTCCGGTCTCGTGGAAGCCGCTGCAGATCTGTGATCAAATTCAAGAGCTGAACGTGTCAAGGTCTTGATTTGTGTGTTTCGTTTGAACAAAGATGTCATGCTCCTCTCCACTGGGGTAGGATGCAAGATGGGCTTTCTGAACAATTGCCACTGCAACCTCTTTCTCGGCTGGATCGACGAACCATGAGTTCGTTACCCTGGTTCCGGAAGAAGCGGCTCTGGAGGTGAACCAATCAAGATGCAGAGCTGCAGCCTCCTCGACCGAACACTCGCATACTCGTAAGGCGCAGTGCTGGAGGTGTGGAGAGCTGAGCCCATGACTTGCAGAAAGCCTACATGTGGATATCATTGAAAGACTCTCGAGTGGCATTGCGACGTCTCTCATTGGTATGCTTCGCGGGGCCACGTTGCGAAAGATATACACCCTTGGTGCCCTCTCTCCATGCTTGTACGTCAGCGAAGTCCAAGGCTCCAATTGCTCCATTGAGCCAGTGTCTGGCCCCGGGAATTCAATGCTGGATACGTCGTCATCGCACGATCAAACCCTTCTGGACTTGTGGCGTTTACGAGGTCGTCTCCTTCGCTCACTAGGCAACTGCTACATTGAGCTCTCGGTCTTGTGATGGCTTAGACCTTTTCTCCTCCCTCCAACATGCGACTGGACGCCGAATGAATCCTTCCTCAATCCCTCATCACTCCGTTCCATATCTTTTCGGTGAGCCTGTGTTCCAAATTAAATTGTTTTTACACAAGGAATCCCAGGATTCTTAACCGCCCATTCCCCTTTACACGTGGACGTATCGGCATTCTTCGACAGCATTAGACTTGGGTTTGTCGACTTGCCAATTGGCATGGATTAGACCGCCTAGAACAAGTAGGTTGCATCCTGGCGACGTCAGCCCGCCCTGACTAGGAAATTGGAGCTTCTATCTCTTTCTGCCTTTGTATCTCCGCAAGCGCTACGTCCAGCTGCCACCATTCGAATCAGAAAATGACAACTCCACAGGGTTGCTGACGTCAGTACAATATCTCGGAGGCAGATATAGTGTGACTAATTGGACAGCCCTTTGTGACTTCTGCCGCATATGAGGCTTGCTGGCGCTTATATGTGACGAGGCTGAGCCTATTGACCACCAAGAAAGGAGTATTCTAACATTTTACTTCTACGAACTTCATATGTTTGTGGCCACGAGCTGAGCCGTCCACTGAAATCGGCAGCGTTCCAGCAACGTCGTCCTCGAGTCCTGGATTTGATTTTGGCTTCAGATGCCTCGTCCTTGGATCATGAGCCAGACGCTGCCTGGTGACGAGGTATGCAAACAGGTATCTCACCAATCGCAAGGAACTGAGATAGAGATTCATCTCCAAAGCTGCAATTCCGTTTCCCCTGGTTCTGCGCAGAACACGACAACACAGTCATCTTTCCAACTGACGGATCCCTGCTTATCTGCCCGTCAACCGATTGAGGAGAGAAGGTTTCGGAGGAGTTGCAAGAATGACCAAGGCATGGCTAGTCATAGCCACGAGGGCTCAGGGCAATCACATTGTCGGGTCCACGCTTTCAGACGTCTCCATACCAAAGAGCTGTGGGTGTGACAAATGAAACCCAACAGGTTTTCATCAGGCCTCTGCAGACAGTCCACGAGGAGCACCAAGCGGCCCTATCTTCCTGGCAGCCATGAATAGAAATGGGCATGTTATTTCTCTCTACAAGAAATGAAGTTAGTGTCTGGTACCTGCATGTAAGAGGCCATTTCGGGATAGTGACAAGCTCGTTTTCTTCATCCATTACCAATCATCGCTAGTAGCTCGTCTGCGTTCATCTACTTTACTTTCCAAGTCCGTACTCGACTCATATGAGCAGCTCCTACCTTTGCATTTCTCCTTTTTTCTCTCTCTCTCTCTCTCTCAGATAAGCGTCGTATATGGTGATGACGGATGGCGGTTAAAGAGTCTCTCAAGTCTTGTACTCGGTACTCACCCCGGAGAACCGGACGCCGGACATCGGACAAGGCTGCGGTGGATCCTCAGGGTTTGTTGAATGCCGAGCCGAATCAACAATTGCACCGACAAGGTCCCCCTCCCCCACCAATCAACCCTTTCTGAATTGCTCCTGCTCCGTCCCTCGGCGAGGGCTAATATCGATCCTGCTCAACATCCCGAACAGAAACATTGCCATCCAGTTTACTGTTGTGTGCATCGAAGGATGGAGTGGGCAACAATGAGTCGCTGCGTGGCTCGCAGAGCTACGAAGAAAGTCTCCTCAGCTCGTTTCTACAGCATTGTGCATGATGTCCCACGAGTCGCTGCCAGTCTCAGCCAGAGCCATCCTCCACCACAACCTCAAAGCCAGTCGGTATTCGAGCAAGCTGTCAATGCCACTGGTCCGCGCAACAACTGGACCAAAGAGGAGATTTCTCAGATTCACCAGACCCCTCTGATGGAACTGGCCTTCGCCGCAGTACGTGCATCCGTTGTCTAGAATTCCCCTGACTAAGAGAACTTGCAGGGCACTGTACACCGTCGATTTCACAAGCCCTCGGCTGTCCAACTATGTACCCTCATGAACATCAAGACTGGTGGGTGCACAGAAGACTGCTCGTACTGCGCCCAGTCGTCCCGCTACAAGACAAACCTTCAAGCCACCAGACTCTCCGCGGTTGACTCCGTCATTGAGGCAGCAAAGGTCGCCAAAGCGAATGGCTCCAACAGATTCTGTATGGGCGCTGCTTGGCGCGACATGCGTGGTCGGACCCGGGGAATGAAAAATATTGTGGAAATGGTCAAAGGTGTTCGGGCCCTGGGTATGGAAGCCTGCGTCACCCTCGGTATGCTTGACAAGCAACAAGCTCGGGAGTTGAAGGAGGCCGGCTTAACAGCATACAATCATAACCTGGATACCTCGCGAGAGCATTATCCCAACGTCATCACCACACGTTCTTACGACGAACGATTGCAAACACTGGAAAATGTACGCGAAGCCGGCATCCACGTCTGCAGTGGGGGTATTCTCGGTCTAGGAGAGACGCCCGCAACTGACCATGTTGGCTTGATCCACACCCTCGCCACTCTCCCAGCACACCCTGAATCTTTCCCCGTGAACAAGCTGGTGCCCATCAAAGGCACGCCAATGTTCGGCCAAGAACCGGTTAAATTGGAAGACATGGTCCGTTGTATTGCCACCGCTCGCCTGGTCATGCCGCGAACCATCATTCGTATTGCAGCCGGAAGGGTCACTATGCCTGAGAGTGAGCAAATGCTGTGTTTCATGGCGGGCGCGAACGCGATTTTCACGGGCGAAAAGATGTTGACGACGGATTGCAACGGGTGGGAGCAGGATAAGGATATGTTTGAGCGCTGGGGGCTGTCACCAATGCAGACCGAGGCGAGTAAACTGGTCGAGGTTGCAGAGGAGCCCAAGTTTGAGGCAAGCAGTTTCGCCCACTTGAAGAGCGATGGCGTGGTGGCACAAAAGGGAGCGGAGGTATGAACACGGGAGTCTGATATAGAATAAACTGTGCATACTTCAAAATAGCTTTACAAGCCGACTTTCGGATACTCAAATACAGAGTTGATAAGTTGTGAATTCACTGTGTACAACTCCCTCCACGGTTCTTTCGTCAGATTTATATGGACAATGCTTTCGACTTCATGAGCCAAACACCAGACTCGAAGCTCAGAATTAAGCACAATACCAAGTCGGCAACGTAACCTGACCACCTAGATTGGAATTGTCTTTCTCATTTCGCTCCCTCTCATTCCGCTTCCTCGCATCTCTCCTCTTTCTGCAAAATACACAGATCTGGCTCGCTCAACAAATTTGCGCTTATGGCACCACATGCCTGAACAAGAGTTCACCAAGTTAGATCGCTCCTCCTCTTCAGCTTCCGCCGTTTTAAAACCTCCTGTCCTCCTTTGGATCTCAGCCGCGAGAGATAGCCGTGCCGACGTTTCTGGACACGTCTTGAGGGGCTGTACGTGTCCATTCTCCTTCTATAACCAAGGAGGGTGGGTGTCGTGGAGAAGGAACGGCATAAAATCCTTGACAGCTGCGACTGTAGCGGTGATGAAAACGATGAAGGCGCGATTAAAGGCGAAGGAGATGATCTCAGAGGTGATATACTGGAGGTGCGGAGTGATAGGTTGCTGAATGCACGGGCAAGGAGAGATGTTGAGTTTGGAGCGTATGTAACCCCAGAGAAGCTCGTAATTGACCTCGGGGGTGTCCGTCTAACTGTAGTGAACGCTCTTGATTGGCGATAGTTAGTGCTTCGTCACAAAAGACGTTGCAATCATGTCGAGCTCACCTTCGACTCGGCACCCGATGCACCTTCACCCTTGATGGCATACTGTCAAAGATGCATTTGACCACGCGGCCACAGATTCGGCACATTATGACCTCGGCAAGGACTTGTAGTTAGAGTCCAGAGTATGTTTGGCGGTCGAGATAGAGTTGCTCTGAACAGATAAAGAGAGTGATCCAGAGTTTCTGCATGCAGCCTTGCTCAAGGTTGTGATTTGCGCCGAATGCTCGCCGCACTTTCCCATTCGAGTTGAGCCAACGAGGCCCTCGGTGAAGACACATGTTCGTGCGACTTGACCTGCCTTGCCTGTCTGGGTGCCTGTCTCGCTGCGTGCCAACTCGCATTCATATATCGAATCGCATTACATGCATTCGTCGTTCATTGCTCCTGACTAAACCGCAGGAGGACAATGGCTTCTCTCCTCCAACTCCTCGGCGACTTCCCTCGTGTTCGTTTGCCCAATGCCCCTTCCCTCCCATTTAACCCCCCTCACTAACCCTTGTGTTATCTACAGCGCCTAGCAGTCTTTCTTGACCGCCCAGGATTCCCATGGAAGAAACTGATTCTTGGGTTCTCCCTGGGTCAATATGTGCTTGAAGGTCTTCTCTCGTTAAGGCAGTATAAGGTGCTGCAAAAGACGAAGCCCCCGAAGACGCTCGAAGACGAAATCTCTCAGGATGTCTTCGATCAGAGTCAGGTACATGCGCGGCCTCTTTGACTATCTTGTCTCCATGCTCAAGTTCGCTGACTCCTGTCCCCAGGCATATGGTCGTGCAAAGGCGAAATTTGGCTTCATCTCCGGCCTCTACTCCCAGATCCAAAACGTCCTCTTCATTCAATACGATATCTTGCCGAAGCTCTGGTCATTGACCGGTCTCTTGCTTGCCCGCTATTTTCCCAGTCGTTTCTCCGGCGAGATTTCCCACTCGGTACTCTTCTTCTTGACCTTCAATGTCATCTCACAGATCTTGTCGCTTCCACCTTCATACTATAGCACATTTGTTTTAGAAGAGAAGTTCGGCTTCAACAAACAAACTATCAAGTTATGGATCACGGATATGCTCAAAGGCCAGGCATTGATGGTTGCACTGGGGACGCCGTTACTCAGTGCTTTTCTCAAGATCATCCAGGTGACGGGCACAAGATTCTTCTACTATCTCTGGCTCTTCGGGATCGTCGTACAGCTCTTCGCCATCACCATCTATCCGATCTTCATCCTCCCGCTGTTCAACAAACTATCACCTCTCGAACCTGGAGAACTCAAGTCTGGAGTGGAAGCATTGGCGCAACGGCTCAAGTTCCCCCTGAAGTCTCTGTACGTCATCGATGGAAGCAAACGGAGTGCGCATAGCAATGCCTACTTCTTTGGGCTTCCGTGGAAGAAACACATTGTCATTTACGATACCTTGATCGAAAAGAGCGAACCGCAAGAAGTAGTGGCAGTACTAGGTCACGAGCTAGGACATTGGAGTTTGTCACACACTACGAAACTGTTCGCCATCGCACAGGTATGTTTGTCGCTTCCTCCCCAAACCCTCAGCTGACTGGTGTCTAGTTCCATATGTTCTATATCTTTGCGCTTTTCAGTGTCTTCATCGACAACAACTCGCTTTACTCCTCTTTTGGTTTCCACGACTCACACCCCATCATCATCGGTTTCATCTTGTTCTCCGACGCCCTTGCTCCAATGGACGCCGTGGTGAAGCTTTTGATGAACGTGCTCTCTCGAAAATTCGAATTCGAAGCCGACGCATTTGCTACTAAACTGGGATATGAGAAGGAGTTGGCAAGGAGTCTGATCAAGTTGCAAGTGCAGAATCTGAGTACTATGGATGCTGACTGGATGTATGCGAGCTATCATTACAGTCATCCCATTCTGGCGGAGAGACTGGCTGCACTGGGTTGGAAGAGTTCGAAGTCGTCGGCAGCGAATGGCAAGGTTGTTGAGTTGGATGAAAAAGTTGCCGATGCGGGCGTGGTCAAGGCGAGCCAGAGAGAGCTGTGAATGCCCCTTTTGTCCCAGGTTTTGTTTGACGGCGCACTCTTCTCTTTCACCCCATTTGCCTTTCCCGTCAATATTTGACGTCTTACAACTACAGCCACGGCCTTGAAGAAGCTGGAATGCGAGAGGACATCCATGCAGAAAGCACGCTTGGCTTTGGTTTGTCAGGGGAAAGGCAAATAGGAGGCCACAGACTGAAATTGCTAGATAGTGCTGAGCATCGACTTTTGGCTCCTTTCAGGTCAGCATGTTGCGGTTGCGAATATGTCTATGGTCGCATACAGCGACAGAGCACAACGGCGTCGATTGAAGTCACCTTGAGGCGGCATCCCTGGTCTCATAGCAATTCAACGCCGCGGAAGAAGAGGTGGACTGGAGTCACAAATCAGATGGCATATGCCATCAAACTATGGCCTTCAGCCATTCTTATTCACAGCACCCGCAAGGTCACATAGACATGGCGGTCCTGCGGCCGCGATGTCGGGCATTGAGACGGCGAGCAGAGCTCTATTCCCACACCCTATCAATTGTTTGATGAAGGCGCTCTAGTCGATAGACTCCATGACAGCAGAATGGCCTGCGAAGATTCCAGGATTGGCGTTTGGGTGGCCATATTCGCAAAGTTATGGTGAAGGGAAAGACGGAGTGTGTTTACAATGTCCTCGAAATCCGTATGACTCTTTAGAAATATGTAGCGCCTTCAATGTCGTGTACGTCAATGAATATATCAGAACTTGTATCGAGAAGAGGCAGTTGGGCAGCTAAATGCTAAATGTAATATCCTGGCTCTTTAGTTGTGTTGAGCGAATCCTCCGAATCAGGCTCCTTTTCATTGGCTGAACCATCCAGGAACAGGCGGGCCAGGCTGCCTCACAGCACCATACAAAACCCCATACGCTGCGATGCCTTTTCTCCCCTCTCCGACATATGCGCAGTCTCTGTCAACAACGTCTTTCTATTTACCCTACCCTCGGGATTACTATTCTACCTGAGAGAAAGTCTTCTGACAGTCAGAGCTCGCAACAGCAGCGTTGCCAGTCCCTATGCCTTCCATGGCAGGCTCCAAACCTGTGACCGAACTCCCTCGTTTCTTGCGCCTGACCTGGACCTCCGCCTCGCTCGTCCAGGTAGCGCCGCAGTCCGTCTCCGGGCGACCTTGGGTAATACAAATGTTGAAGACTGCCTCCTTCAAGTCCGTGTCGAGGCCTCGGACAATACATAGCAATGCCGCTCCTAGCTTGACCGGGAAGCACCCTTCTCAATCACGGAAGAGACCCCGGACGGACGTTCAACCACTCCCTCGAGATTCAGTTCCCATACGACACAATGGGGTTTATGCCGCTACATTTAAACCTGCACGCCGGGCGTTCTCGACGACACCTGTGCACCATAAAGCCCACCACTTTGACACGCTGCGATTCGTGCAGAGATTGAAAGACGAAGGCTTCACAGAAGAGCAGGCGGTGGCCATGATGCGTGTCCTCAACGACGTGATAGAAGAGTCGATTCAGAATCTCACTCGAACCATGGTGCTGAAGGAAGATGCGGAGAGAAGCACATATACGCAGAAGGTCGATTTTGCCAAATTGAGGAGTGAATTGTCCAACGCAGATAGCACCGAAGCACAATTAACACGATCGAGTCATGACCGTTTAACCAGCGATCTGGCCAAGTTAAACTCGAGACTACGAGACGAGATCAGCCGGACGCAAGCCAGTGTTCGCCTTGACCTGAACCTGGAAAAGGGGAGGATACGGGAGGAAGCGAACGGACAGGAGATGCGCATCAAGGAGACAGAAGCTCGAATTGAGCAAGAGGTGGCCAGTCTCCGCGAGCGAGTAGAAGCGGTCAAGTTCTCGACCCTTCAATGGCTCATGTAAGTATTCGGTCCGTCCGAAGATTGTCGCAAATTGATGCTAACCAATACATAGGGGCGTCTGCACAGGTACCGCAGCACTCATTTTGGGTGCCTGGCGTCTGTTGATGTAGGCTCCATCACCATCGTCGCTACATGGTGCGTCGGAGCGGAAAAGCCACACCTTGATCGAACACCGCCGCGCAATACGTCCATCGTACCGTGGTCAAGCGGAGTGTCGACACCAGCTTTCTGAGTCGACAGTATCAAGCTTTGAGAATCTCCGTGTAAATAGCATGGGATTTTTGGATCTTTCAAAAGCACTAAAGCACTTAGGAGGACGCAGAGAAAGAGAATCCCTTCTCTATGGCTCGGATCAACATTGCCTTGGATTCGGTCTGTGCCATGATTCGCGCTCACTCTAGCTCTAGTATCAGTTCAACGCTGCACAATTCTCTTCTCAGGGCTATGCTTTCACAGCACTTGTGACCAGTCAACCTATGTACGAACAATGACTCATGGTCTTAGAAGCCTGCACTATCAGTTAGGCTATGATCTTCGTGGTCGACTCAATCAATGAATATTTGGATCCAACCAACTTGTGTGGATTATGCTTGAAGCCGAAACGAGTGGTGGAACAAGTATACTAGATATTACCATGGTTGATATGAGGCTGTACACCTGCAATTGGTTTAAGTTTCTAGCTATAAACCGTCCTTTTCTTCTCCTGTATATATACCTAGCGCTGGAGGCAGGAACCTGGTCGTTGATAGGCAACAGCCCTGGGTGCCTGGTTGTCGTCGGTGTGAATGTGACGGCATGGGCATGTCTGGGTCAACTTCGGCAAGTTTCGCGGCCCATGACTTCGTTCTGGCGTCCTGGTGTCTGTTGTGTACACATGATCGTGTCACACTGCGTTTGTGCAAACGGAAGCCAGTTCTGCCTGCCTGAATGTCAAAGACCTCTCTGCCTCCGTTATGTGCGCCCTTGTGAAGCGTCACCAACAGCGACAGCGACATTCTCTCCCCAGCTCGCGACGTCTCTGGCGACCACGGATCTCTCCCTTGTCAAATCATGAGGAAGTCCTTTATTGAACGCATCTTCCCTCACCCGCCGGGAAGTACAAGTTCACTTCCTCAGTATGAGGATGACGTCTCAGTCTCTTCGTTGCGCTCCTCCGATGCAGTCCGCCCTCGCATTCTGCTACGAGATGCAGCAACCCCATCTCCATTGTCCGACCGGCAACGAAACAGTTCTGTGTCCCCGACCTCTCAAAGACCCCAGAAGCTGAGCTCGTCCCTGGTGCGCCACAACGATCCCTTCCTCCCAGTGGAGAGAGCTGCCAAATCACTCGAGCGGACCTTTCAGAGCCTCCTCGATGCGCAGTCAGAAGGGCTCGGAGCTGGCGTTGCGAACGCAGACCTGGAAGATTCGTCCTCTGTGGGAAGTCCCACGCCCACTCCATCTATCTCTACGTCTACAAGAACAGGAGCGGATCCAGGACCGTGGACCATACCAATCCGTCAACCGAAGCCCAAAAAGATCACGCTCCGAGGAGCACGACGCGGGTTAGAAAAGTCCATGAGGGAATTTGCGGCTCTTAGGGAGTGGGAGCTGTCCCTCATCGACCGGGAAGTTGTGGCTAGAGACAACGCCCTGAAACAGGCTTCGGACCTAGGAAACCGGAGACACCTCCTTGAGGATGAGATTCGCAAGATCAAAAATGAAGAAGGACCTGTCGGTCTACGCTCCGAGATTCAGGCCGTGGAACAGGAGATCCAACATCTGGAGACAGCCTTGCTGGAACTCAAGTCCAAGCACAGAATCCTAGTGAATCAGCTCCGCGAGACCGAGAGCTCAAGGGACTCGGAATTGAGCTCTTACATGGAGTCGCTGGCACTGAGCGAGGTTCAGGTCAAATCGTTCCTGCGGAGACCACCGATCCAGCAGAGTCTCAATTCCGGACATGATCCAGGGATGTACGCCCTGAAGCCAGAGAGGCGGACCCTGCAAATGGCACAGGAGCAGTGGACAAACGAAGTGGAGTTGCTGGGTCAGAGAAAGGCGAGCGCAGAGAGTGAGAGGAATGCCCTGGAAGAAGGATCGAGACTTTGGCGCGACATTGTAAGACGTATTGGCGAGTTTGAACGGGACTTGAAGACGCAGACGCGGGAGCTGTCTCATTCGCAACTCCAGTGGGCTGCCCCGAACGGAGCAGATGATGCGAAGAGTGTACCGGCGACAACAGCTGAAGAGGCGTCCATTCAGCTAGTCTTGACAAAACTCTCTACCTTGATCTCATCTCTCGAGGAAGATCTTGACCTGGCCGAATCCAAGCACTGGAATCTCCTCACCTGCGCAATAGGTGCTGAGCTTGCGGCTTTCCAGCAGGCACGGGATTTGCTCCAGCGGAGCGCCAACCCGTCATCCACCACCGATGGTCCACTGAGTGACGGTGACAGTGTCAACGGATTCAATGATCGCAATCAGCTTGAAGACCATGAGACGACACAGAGTCATGAGTACCCTCCAGATCTACTCCGGGACAATATGCTTTCGCCGGGCAGATTACGGAGTCCAGGCGAAAGCAGCAACCAGAGTCTAGAAGACACATTGCGTCAGTTTGGAAATCCGCTCGATAAAGGCAAGCAGAAGGAACAGGTCGATCCTCTTGACAGCGTCGAGCTTGACCCTGTCGGCGTTCACCTGCGGTCACAACCTCGTGGACTACCCTCTTCAGAGCTGGATCCTTTTGCTGGGGAGGCTGATTCGGTCGCGAAACCGACATCATTGCCAATCACAAACGTTCGGCCGAAGCCTCCAGACCGGACAATGACGTCTGAGAGCGAGGACGATGAGCCAGGGCCAGAATTTCTGCTTTCTCATTCTTGATGGCCAGGTTGTTTGAGAGAAAAGGGCCAAGAATTGTACAATAGGGGCTTGTTAGTGCTGGTGGCTTGGTGAGCGATGTATCAAATTCAGCCTTGTTCAGCACTTGGCAGCCAAGTTGGCTGTGCCATTGACCAATATGGATCAATATGATCAATATGATCAATATGTTTCGTGATCCGTTTCAAACTATCCAGAATTTTTGTTCCTCTTGTGTTTTTTTTGTTTTGGTTGGATGGTACACGGGCTCGAAAGTGTCTGTGTACTTGTCTATCTATTTAACCATCCACGCCTCGCCATGCCATGTCTCGCCTCTACCACTAATATACAATGAGAGCACAGCCCTTGTCGGGCGCGTGTCCCAAACACATTACCCGGTCTCAGACCCAGACCCGTACTCAAGACCAACCCCAATTTTACTCCATCCCCCTGATAAGGTCGCGATAGGGGACCGGACGGCGTGGTGAGAATCCGTCAGGAGCGTGGACTGTGTTGTCGTTCAGACCGTGCGCGCCTGGGTCCGCGTGGACTATTTCGAGAGGAAGGAGGGCGGTCGAGATGTCCGCGAGCGAAAAGAGAACAAACACGGGGTTAAAGTGGAAGGAGAAGGGATAGACAGTGGGAAGAGGAAGAGAGAAACGTCAAATGAGGATACATCAATTTCACACTGATACATACTGTATGGAGGTGCATGGTGCATGGTGCACTAGACTCGACTAGACTAGACAGAAGAAGAAGAAGGAGACTCGTACATTTCGTTTCATGAGTGAGTGAGTGAGTGAGTTGTTTGGTTGGTTGGTGAGTTCGTTTGTATGGTGTGTTTGACTGGGAGGTAGGTAGGGAGATCCAGATGGACAGACCGGTGGATAGACATGGTAATAGCTGGATGAACAGACTGACGGATGGGTACAATAAGAGAGAGTGAGTGAGTGAATAAGTGATTCTCGTTCTCGTTCTGATTGTAGTCGTGGTTGTGATTCGGATTCTGATTGTGAAAGTGAAAGTGATAGATGCTCCGTCCGATGCCGCTCAAGCTGTCCATCTCGTCGAAGCCGTTCATTCCTCATGCGCCATGTAAAGAAGTAGAAACCCCGGAATGATGAGGTTGCTGTCGTTACCGGGAATTCTGACATGGGGGCCCCTTTTTTGTTCTGCAAGTCTGACATGCTGGTGATGGGACATTCCTTGTATATCAGGTAAACCACCTTTCCACCTTGTTGATTCTTGACCGTACATTTGTATACACGAGGTTCGAGTCTCGCCTGCCTCGTAGCTTGATATATCTGGATGACCTGTACCGAAGGGCTCTTTTCTGGAAATCGACAATCTCTCTGCCTTTGACTTGATGTTATCGTTGTCATGTTGTTGGTGGTGTTCATTCATTTCGTCGGCTTCTGCCAACATCCCCCGTCAGTATAGAGCCAGATAGACCATCTTGTTGAGGAGGACAAAGAAATGAACTGACCAAAAGAAAAAAACCCTCCTCGTGTCCTCATCCCCAGAGCTCCTCTTGGGAAAGCACCAGATCCGGCCCTTTGTACACCTTGCCTGGGCTGACTACCTCGCCCTTTGGCTTGGGGACTTCCTTTTCCTTTTCCTTCTCCTTCTCCTTCTTGATCAGGTTGACAATGTTGATCCCGGAGCTCTGCCCCTCGGAAGCGGCGATGTCGGCCTCAACGTCCCGCGCAATCAGCTTGTAGTCCTGCACGACGTCGCCGTAGAAGCCTCGGCTCGCGCTGCCCGCCACCGCCGCGCCGTTCCACCCCTTGCGTGATTCAAAGTACATCTCGTCCGTCTCGGTCTCGATATCGGTCGCCTCGTCTGGGGTCAGCTCATCCGGAGAGCTCGAGCCCGCCGCGCTGTCCCTGTCCCTCTCCACGGTTGCCACCATCACCGGCGTGCCCCCTCGGGGAACGATATCCTCTCGGGGGCTGGCCTGGCGAGTGAAGATATCGTCTCGTGGACTGGCGCGGCGAGTGAAGATGTCGTCGCGAGGACTGGCACGGCGTGAAGTGACGTCGTCTTTGGGAGGGCTGTCACGACGCACGACGGGGTCGACCGACGTGGCGCGTCGGGCAGAAAAGTCACCAGAGATACGATGGCGAGTGTACGGCTCGCGAGAGACTGCGCGACGAGTACTTGGGCCAGGAGACTCTGCACGAGGACGAACCGGCTTATCGTCAGAGAATGCACGAGGAGTGATTGTCCCTGGTGCGACGTGCCCGGACATGGCCTGTCCGCGAGAAAGAGCTCGACGGGTTTTGGGTTCTGGTGAATCCAAACGGCGGACAGCGGGCTCCCGGGACAGGGCTCGACGGCTCACGGGTGGAGGAGAGTCAGCACGTCGCCTGACGGGGTCTCTGGACAGAGAGCGGGTAATGCTCGGTTCGCAAGAGGCATTTCTGCGGCCAGTTGATCCGCGGGAGAAAGACGAAGCTGTAGCGCCTCGCACGGGGGAATCTGCACGCCGTCGGGGGGCTTCTCTCGAGACAGCACGTCGACGACTCGGTCCCACCGAGCCAGCCCGCCGTTCAGCAGGTTCTCGTGAAGCAGACCGACGGCCACCGCTGGACTCCGAGGGCCCCCGGGACGAAGCTCGCATGTAAGCCACCTCGCCAATGCCTGGACCTCGAGAAGAAGGCCGGGAAGGGAGCCTGGTAGCACTGCTGCCAGACTCGGGTCTCTCAATGGTTGGGTCTGCAGCCTCGTCTGAACTTGGAGGTTCAGAGGTTGATGGAATCAGAGGCGTAGAGTGGACGTGCCCCTCCAACCGGTCAACCAAGCCCGCAAGGTCGACCTGCCTCTCATGACTGTGGGGAATGGCAGACTCGATCTGTCGTGCGATGGGGGTGTTGTCCATGGGCGTGGCATTGTTGCTCTCAGAGAGCTCGTTGTACTTTTCCACCACAGGGCTCAGAATGGAGATGGCCGAAGCCGGTTGGCTCTTATTTGGAGGAACTGAGGTCTGGATCTGCGGAAGCCGTGGGGGCCCCGGGTGTTTCTCTGGAAAGACTGCCCGCGTGAAGAAAGTGCTGACGTCGTCATATACCGGCGACTGGCTATGAATGATGGGCGAGTCGACTCGGAATGGCTCGATTGCGGGTCTTGGTTCCGCCACAATGACTTCGTCGATATTGCTGATGATGCCGGGGCGAACGGGGCGTGACTCTGCTGTCACCACCTTCTCTACCACCCGGGCCGGCTGGGTTTGGTGGAGGGGTTGACTGCTCGTCGACGACGACCTTCGGTGGGACTTGCGGCTCCACAGCAAAGGAATGGTGATGGTGATTGTACCCCGTTCCTTCTGGATGAGTGGGGGAGACTGCTGTGGGATTGTTTCGACGCTGCCCCGTTCGATCTCGTCCTTGAAACTCAAGTCGGGGGATGTGTTGACGAGGGTTTTCTGCGAGTCGGGGCTGCCGTGGGCCTGGTAGGCGACGTTGTTCATGTCGTCGTCGAGGTAATGCTGGGTCCATCCACCGTTGGGAGCCGTGATTGCCACATCGCCCCATCGAGCATGGAGTTGCTTCGTGGACTCTGATCGGGACCTCGACGGTCGACGCCGGGACGACATGAGTCCTTCGAGCACACCCGCCATGGTCGACTCGATCGACAGGTATTAGGGTGAGAGACGAGAACAGGGACCTCAGACCGGGTCGAGGGTCAAGCTGACGTTGGGGCCGTTGTATGAGGAGACGCTTTGCGTCAAAACGAAAGGCCTGAGCAGAAAGCACAGGATGTAATTGTTTGGAAATGCCCGTGAGACGGAGGCTGTGGTGGGAGAGGCCACACGACGAGGCGCCTATCCCAAGAGAAGAAGAGAAAGAAATAGCTGATGAACCCCCACAGGAAAGGAAAAACCAGAAACCAAATGCTTTTTCTTTTTGATTCTCCCTGACAGATTATGAAACTTTGTTGATCCAAAGGACTTGTATGAACGGAGGAGGGGGGTTTGCATAGAGAAGGACGCAGAGCGGCTGAGTAGAAATATAGGGCAGTCAAAAGACAGGACAGGATAGGTAGTACTCCTCGGTACTCACCGTGTGTTTATTTTTGCTTGTGGTGAATGGTGCTTGCCCGAAAAGAGCTGCAGACGTGGTACAAAACAATAATAGAAGAGAGGCTCTGGACTTTTGGCTTTGTCGCCTGATGCTCGTGTTAGCTAGCCGATGGCATCCAACAGAACAGGGCCCTTGAGGTTAGCGAAGCCAGATACAGGCTCGCAAATGCACAGTTGTCGTTCCCCACGCGAACAGACATGTCCAGGGTCGCTGGCAGCCGGTCGCCACTGAGGTCTCTGGGCCTGTGAGCGTTTGGAAGTCCAAGAAGATTGGACGACGGGGAAAGATGAGACAGATCGGATGCAAGGGGCTGTTGACGCATTGCGGGCGTATAAGCGCCAGATGTGGAGGAGTGTGACAAAGAGTGGAGATTAGTGGAGATGATATCGTCCTCTAGAGGCATGATCCTGGCGCTTCTATTGGCCTATATCTATTTTTATTCGGTCCAATCACAACCCTAATATATGGCTCCACTAAAGCCGAGGAGTCCAGCCTTACGAGCTGCCTCCTTCTGTGGTTGTTACTCGCACATGCAAGCCCCTTTCGACTCATCCAGACCAAAAGCCTTTGGACCAACTACAGCTGCTGGATCGACTGCCGCGGAAGACTGTCTTCAGATCCGCATAACCTTTGGCGTGGAATGACACAATCCGGGCTGCACGTCACCAGCTAAACTATCCAAATATGGGCCACACACGAACGGAAGAGGGTTGAAGAAGCATTAATTGGCAAGAGACCTCAGAGAAGATACTTTCGCAACGAACACGAAAGGGTCCCTTTTGCATTTTAATTGGAGCTATTGCACACCCCCGTGCGTAGAGGGTATATATCATCGGACGATTCTTCAGCTCCCACAGCTCGCATGGTTGCTCATTTTGTCGCCTCCCCGGCCCACTGAGTTTTTGTTTTCTGCTTCTCAGGATCGAGCTGGAAAACCCTGACATCAGACTCCCACATCCAGAGTTTTGAAACAGCATATGACTTACAGCTGACCGGTGGTTGCCTCCACTGGCAGAAGTCTGGAGCTTCTCCAATAGTGTGCCCACGGGATAGTCGTCGTAATCGATATCCAAATAACCACGAGGTGCGTAACTCCGAGGAACGATTGCAAATGCTCGACCTAAACCCTCGCCATCAGCTACCCACTCGCATAGAGGATGCCGAGCCCGCTTACCATTGACTTTGGGATCAGACACAATTCTCAATGCACATTGGCCGGCGTCTTCGACCGTGGCAAAATCGATGCCCGAATTCGTGAGATGGTCAACGACTGCCTTGCTCAGAATCTTGGTTTCGACAAACCTGGATTGGCTCCATTAGCATGAATATGCCTCAACGATCGATTTGTCCGTACCAGGGTCCAATATATGCAACTCGAATATTGTGTACGTGCTCCGTCTTGCGAAGAGCCCTCATCATGCCGCGAAGGCCAAACTTGGATGCACTGTATTGGACGGCGCCCGATAGGTCGAGATATCCTGCGAGACTGCCCTGTAATATGAGAACCTGGTCGAGGGGGGCTCCTTTGTTCAAAGCATTCTGTCGGCGGAAGTAGTGAAGCGCCAGCTTGACGGTATACATGACACCAGTGAGATTGACATTGAGGATGTTGAGCTTTGGTTCTTCAGGCTCCTCGGCTTCGACTAGACATGTCCATCAGATTTTATCCAGCTCAATTACCCCAGTCACATACCGTTGTTGAAAAAGACCGAATCAGCCCCGCTAATGCCAGCATTGGCAATGACAATGTCCACTCGGCCAGAGGGTGAAGCCGAAAGTGCAGTTTTGAAGACGGCCAATTGATCAGCCCAGACTGTAACGTTGCACTTGACGAACTTGACTGAGCTGCGAACGGAAAGTCAATGGGTGATGCACAAGATGAGAAGACCATATTTGGATACTGACCTGCCCAACTCCTTTTCCAGCCTCGCGCCTTCTTCGGCGTCAAGGTCTGCAATGACGGCAAAAGCCCTACACTTCCATCAATATCAGGCCATTTGGTACATTGAGGGCTCGCTCATACCCGGCGCTGGTCAAAGCACGGACATATGCCTCACCGATGCCATTGGCTCCTGAACAAGGATATTAGAAAGGACCCTAGTATGGTGTCTCTATTGCGTCAAGCGTACCGCCGGTGACGACAGCAGTCTTGCCCTTGACATTGCTTGTGTCAATATCCACGTTACAATTGACGGCCCCGGTATTCGTATACGGCTCCATGGCGACAGGCTTGATCCGACAGTTAAAGGATAGGTAGGAGAATGAGAAGCGTCAACTCCGGGGGATCTGTTTGGTGGCGTGGGGACAACGTCAAACTCTCGATCGACAAAAGAACCTCGCTCAGCTTGAAGGATTTGGGAAATGTTCCAATCTGTCGCTGCGCGTTCTATATATCTCTCCACAGCAAAAGACTGTCGTCAGCTTACCAGAGAAGGGTACGATAACCTCGGTAGATTCCTGTCGAACGAGAGCAACAGACTTGGCTTGAGCATTTTCGAGTTATACGCAGGCAGCGGGGAAAGGCAACATATGTTCGACCGCACAAGTGGGTCGATTAGTTTTCGTTCTCGTATCGCGTGTCGTTGAGTTTAGTCATAGCCCTGGTTCAAGCCCGAAACAAGAAAATTACCGGACCCGTAGGGTGAAGGGTGTGTGCCTTCTGACTGCGCTCGTACATGGCAAGACAGGTAACGGGCAATAACTCTGTCTGGCAAGTCCTGCGGGAATCACAGTGAAGCGAGGCGTCCCAGGTGGGGCCAAAGGACTTGTGCGTGAACAGTGGCTGCTATGCAGGGCTTGTCGCGTATAGAACTACCTGCTTGTGGGAAGCGACTTGCTGACACGAGGTGCACGAGGAAGTTGCCAAATCATATCGGGGTTGGTTTTAGCGAGGCAGCATCTTCGACCACGGATGAAATGATGCAATTGGAGTGGGAGAATGGGCATCTGGCAGTACTCGTAGCTACATGCTGTAGCGAAGGTGGACGACGACGGAATCTCCGCATCTGAATCCTTCAATCCACCCCCACAGCCTCGTCACTTTTTTTTCCCCTCTCCACACAAACTGCGCACCGCGCCTCGTACCTCGTATACGCCCCTAACAAGGCACCAACGTACACACTCGTGATTCCAACCAAGCTGACCGAATGGACAATTGAACCCCCATTTCAGCCTTTCTCCGATAAATCATTTCGAGGACAACTACAATGCCTCTCCTATCCTCGACCCTCCTCCTACGCACCCACTCCCTCACCCTCCTCACATGCGCCTACTACCTCCTGACCTCGCCTGCCCAACTGCTGTCCTCGACCCCGATATGGCTTCTTGGGGAGAGCATGAGCGTCCGGCCCGCGGGGTACGCACCGGAGACGAGCCCGCACGACGCCTCCGCCTCACTCGGTGCAAGAGCAGGCAGTAGCGGGCGGACGAGCACGAACCCCGGCAAACATTTGACGGGGTTGCTGTCGACACAGGCCCATGGGATCTCCCACTCCGAGCGAGAACTGTTCGCGCTCCTGGCGCTGGTGGTGGTAGCTTACGCGGTGACACAGTTCCTCTTCGCGGGAGACTTGTCCATGTCACAGCAGGGCTCGGGTGCTGGTGCTGGTGCCGGTGCTGCTTCTTCCAATGCCTCTGCACCCCCTTCGTCACTGGCCACGCGCCTCGACCCCTCTGCGAAATCACCCTCGCGCCACGCCGAAGAACTCCACACTCTCCTGACGGCACAGTCGCGCTGGCTCACCCTCTCGGCGATCCACGTGTTGGCGTCGTCAACCCTCGTGTTCTGGATCTACATGTTCCACTCGCATTCAGCCTCCTCCGCACCGGTGTCTTCAAGCTTCCCCCCAGGCAGCTGGACCTCGCTGCTCTCAGGACTGAATTTACTGGCGAATCGAGTCGTCTTCACGATCGGGCTCGCTGATATGCTGTTCTGGGGTTATTTCTGGACAGTGCTAAAGGAGGAGGGCCGCGAAGTTGCAAAAGTGTTGGCCAGGTGGCGCAGACAGGCCGAAGATGATGAGTGAACAGAAACCCTCTGCCTGTTGAGAGATGCGGCGAGGATAAAAAGAAAATCGAAGCTTGAGCTGGCGGTCACGTGTGGTACATTACATATATCTCTTTCCTGCGTGGTGGCTATGCTAATGAGATTCTAGTGCATATTCCACTAGATGACATGTGCTAGATCGAAGGAAATCTTCCTATCTAGCCGCATTACATCTCGAACTATTTCCCTCGTCTCTGGCTTGGGAATCCGCTCCTACAACATGGCTGCCAAACCCAACATCCCAGCTCCGATGGCACCAAACCCAATCGCCACTTGATTCGCAGCACCCGTGGGGCTGGCAGTCGCCGAAGAGACTTGACTGACACTGCCTGTGGCGGAAGAGGCAGCCGCGCTGGCACTGGACGCGGCGGAGTTGGCGGACGCGGAGACACTGCTCAGCGAAGAGGAAACGCTGGCGCTGGCGCTGGAGGCTGAAGCAGAGGCAGAGGAAACACTAGCATCGCTGGAGCTGCCGGCGGCGCCAGAGCCGGAAGCCGAAGAGGTGGTGGTGCCGGTCGAGGTCGTCGTTGAGGTGCAGGTTGCCGACGCAGGCTGTTGAGAATAAATGGTTCAGTGAGACAATTTTAATGTCAAAATATACTCGTGTGGCAGACGAAAGTCACGACACCCAGGCGAACCGCAATTGAGATCAATAGAGAGAATCCAAACATACCAAAAGCGAAGAAGCGCCGACGGGGTCACAGATGCTGTGCGCATAAGCCAGAGCGGCCGTTTGATCTGTAGGATCACACGCCTCAAAGACGCAGCAGGCGATGCCGTTGAGGAAGGACGCGGTGTTGCAGATACCTATTGATATAAGTTTGGGATGAGCCACTGCTACAGAGTCCCTTCCTCTTTTTTTTTTTCCTGCTCTGCCTCTTGCACCGTCGGGATGAACGAGCTCACAGAAGAGGGAGGACTAACATGTTGGATTGCCGTTGCAGCTGGCGGGGAGGAGACTGCTCACGCAGTCGGTAGCACCTGTACGAGTATTCGAGATGATCAGCCCACCACGTCAGTCCATTGACACACACATTCACCAAACCCCGCGCGCGCGCGCGCTCGACTTTGCGATCTGCAATCTTTTCCACAGCATTGACCTCGAGGCGCGCGGCAATTTATATCTTTCACATCACATCACAGAATACGGGGGGGTTTCATAGGACCGACGTACAGCTGGGAAGAGTCGGGGCCTGTTGCGCAGAGACAATACCCACCAGGAGGGTGGAGGCGGCAAGGATGCTGCTTAGCTGACGAAGCATGGTGGCTCTAGTGGCTGGTAGGAATAGAGCTTTCCCCCGCGATTCTGGTGTGGGACACGAGGGACTCGTGGATGAGGGTGTTCGATGTTCGATGAGAAGTAGGATGGGATGGGAAAATGGGAAAAGAAGTTCAATTGAGAAGAAAAGAATGAGATAAAAGCTTGCGTTGCCAGAAGGGATAAATAAGAGACGGCTTGGTCAGTTTTCTCGTTGGTACTCCCCGTACCACTCACCTGCAATACCCTGCCCTGTCCCGCCGTCTTTTGCTTCTACTCGGTACTAGTTTGGGGATCTAGAATGCTAGCTAGCTGCCTACCTCGTACATATGTAATAGCTCTCTACCCCCTCCCCCCCAAGGCGCCACGACACCAAAAGCTAACAGCTTCCCTGGGGTGTGCCCCTGGGGAAAAAAGTCTCTCTCCTCTTCCCGCATTATTGGGGTCGTCCCGGTAACACCCTTGCCGGCACGCACCATCGATGCTCCGCATTTTATGGCATCAATACCAAGATCATGAGACCCAAACCACCGCGTAGGTTCTACCTAATCTGGTCTGTTCATACTGGCCTTCCGTTCTGTTTTTTTTCCCTTGCGACGAGACGAGACATCGACGAGGGTGTGTGGTCGTCGATTGAGGGGAAAACAGATCCGAAAACCACCCACAACGCGTCATCCGAGTACGAGCAGACAGCGGCGGTTGAGCGGTCAATGGCTGGGCTGATGGCTGCGCCACCTAGCGCCGAGATTGGTTCTTGCGAGGAATGTACCTCGTATACGCAAGCCAAGCACAAATCGTGGGAAACGAGATCCCCAATCGCACCCGAGATAGTGAAGGGATACCTGGTTATCTATCGTGATTGCATCGATCGAGCAAGGCTGCAGGCTAGATCAACGCGAGGCTGAGCGTCACGATGGATCAGATATTGGATACTTACACATTTAGATATTGACACAAGAAACCAAGTCTTCATTGCGCTATTGCGTCGTCATCAAACATTACACACACCGGCTTGTCACTCTCTCTTCCCCCTTTTACCGTGTCATCCGGTCCAAGTCTCGCTGGTGCCAGCTTTCTCCCTGGCGATACTGTCATGTGCAACACGGCACGAAAACGAAACAACATCTTCCCCATATCCCACACCCCACAAACAAATAAACCGATGTTCTCACCGGCGTCCTCATCCCATATTCGTGCTCGCCTCAAGGAGATCCAATCCCATCGCATCAAGACATATACACATCGCTCTGTGGAGACGTTCTCGTGACTTTTCCCCGTGTCCTATAAAACTCCACCAACCGCGCGAACCACTTCCCACCAATATGTTCAGATGATATTAATCGTATATGTAAAATCACTGGCGAACCAATACCCGTTCATATGGTCCAGTCGCTCAACGTAGTTGTTCATCTCGGCCTCGCCTTTCATGACACTCCGAAACCGGTCCCAATTGGCCTGGTCATACCGGCTCACGTCAAAGGCTCCGATCCTCCTGAATTCGCCCTTTTTCATGGTCGCACACAGGAGCAATCCCTCGACCCGATCAACAACGTCGATGACTGGCAAGAGATAGATCTCGAGCATCTCGCAAAGCATCCCACTGCCCACGTCGGACAGTTTTGGCAGGCGGTCGTCAAAGGCTGCTTTCTCGATTTCGACCTGAGCCTTGGTACATTGGATCACACAGGGCGTAGAACCCCAGTAATCCCGCGTGCGTCTCAGCAGCCCTCTTGCCAGGAACCCTCTAACCTTCATCCTGCCGCCTTGCACAAAGCCGAAATTGTCCCCGGATGGACTATATTTCATGTCGATCTCGATGATTTCAATGCAAGTTTCTCGTGCCGAGGATGCCGGTTCAGGGTACTTTACTTCGCCGTCGATGGATGTCCATGCCCATGTTGGGGCTCTGTACTTCGTCGGCCGCCTTCCGCCCTCTACTCGCCAGAGCAGCGCGTGTGGTAATTGCGGCTTCCAGAGCCCAACCAGGTAGTCGTCGGTATGCAATCTGTTCTTTGCCATGTACTGCTTCGCCAGCCCCTGCATGGCCAACAGCTTGTCGCTAGAGTACGTCAACTTCTTGGGGGAATACATTTTCACCAGCTGATGCCAATTGCCGTGCCTCTGGTGATGGATCTTCTTACTGAAGAACTCGACACTTTCTTGGGACGAAGGCGGACCCATGGTGGCGGGAAGGCCCTTCGGAAATACCTCTGAACAACACATCTGTTGGCATTCCCAGAACAATTCATTGCGAGTGAAGTGCAGTGTACGTTTTGCAAGGCAGCGTTCCTGAAAAGCCCAAGCCCGCTTGTTGAGTGGTGATGAGTCGACCAAATCGTGCCATAGCGTGGAGCGGAGTATTTTGTACATCCCTTCGTCAATGCCCAAGCCAAAGGGAACGGGAACAATGCAGGGCTGTATTGCCAAAACGTTGCGACTGTAGATCAGTCCGCTGGCATCGTCCCTCGAGGAAGTGGCGGCGATGTTGAGTGTGGCTTCTGAATAGACACGGTGCATCTGTCCCACCTCGGCCAACACGTCTGTTTCGCTATCATGTCGAATGCACAGTGCGTCAATCCAGAGGTATCGGAAACCTAGCTTATCCGTCACAATGGCGGCTTCGGCAAACGTCTTTGGGAGATTTGCCACGCTGACGCCCTGCCTCAACGCTGCGAGGGTCCCTTTATGCAAACGAATCGTCTTGGACTTGCCCCAACAATGGCTGAGGGTGACGTACTCGCTCAAGGGGTCCACGAACATGCCGTCCACAAGTTTGACTCCGCGAGCGCCCTTGGGGCCTCGGATCGAGACATCCAACAGGTGTGTGGGCTTCCACGTCGCATCGGTGGCAGAGGACACGGAACATTTCATGTGGTTGAATGTACAGTCTTGGATCCACTGTTTGGCAAGATCGATACTTTCTGTCGACGCTGTACTCACCGATCTAGAGTCAATTGTCCGGACTCCAGGTTCAACGGCAACTATGATACTAGCAAGTTAGCAACCTCTGGGGATCTCAAATCAGAGGCAGAAAAGGGCCAAGGAAGCACATACATCTCGGATGCATCAGAATCAACTCAACCACCAACCCCGTCGTTTGGTCCCAGCTCAACGAGAGACTCGCCTTCGAACCGCTACTGCTTGGAGTCGGTCCCCGGATCTCCTTGTCCGCCTCCGACTTCGTTGGCTTCACATATCGGAACTTCAACCTCGCTTGGTCCCGGGCAATCGGTGATATCCAGACGAAGCCAACCGAATCGATTGCTAACCCTCTGTTTCGAAAATTTCTATAGGCGTCTGGGTCGATGGACATAAAAACTGTCAAACAGAGATGGCATTTGCTGGCCAAAGATGCGAGTTCTTCCAAGCCATGATGCGGAATCTCGCCGGTATCCAGTGATTTCGGCGTGTCTGGCTTAAATATGGACTGGCACGCGGCGCAGAGCGTGCTGGGCGTTAATTCTGACATGATCGAGACGTTGTTGATCGATTATTATTGTGGTGACGTTTCTCGCTTCTGTCCCCCGGCATCTCGTCGATAATGTTTCGGTCTGGACGTTTCTCAACGGACGCAACGACTGTCCATGCTCTTGGTCGCACAAATCGATGCTCTAGACAACGTGACAACCTAGTCGGCAGTCTGGTTCAAAATATAGCGGATCATCAAAGAGGATTGTGATGTAGGCGTGTTTCTCCTGAGATCGTCGCCGCTGGAGCCGAGCACCAACCGAGCAACCTCTTAATTTCCGAATGCGGGCGGAACTCAGCGCCACGCGAACCAAGCTCGTTTCAAATGATAGCAACGCGCCTCAAAGTGATTCGCGCGTCTGGGATTGCATCATATCGTCGCCCAGTGGCACCAGTGGGAGTGTGATTGTTGACGGACTGTGGCAGAGGTCGAGAGCGAGAACTGCATTCGACTCGTCATCCACGTTCACTTTGCCGCTGTGTGGAGATGTTGTGTCTGCTTTTCTCCATTGGGAACAGCCCAATCCCCGAACAATGCTCGTGCCCCTGATGGCTACGAGGCCAACGTCTCTGTTAGCCGAAAAGGAGCCTCGTTCAGGCAGAGATCCTCATTCCGTTTCTTGACATACGAGCAAGGAAAGACTGTGCGATTGGGCACCCATTTGGGCAATACCGTTAAATTAATAATAATAATACTCGTATACTTTCGATATGGATGGCCTTAAAACGCCCGCGTTATCGAAGCCTTGTCATCTTCAATAGATCACGCCGGTGGAAAAACTCGCGGTTTTTCTTCCCAAAGATATACATGGGAACACTTAGCACACAGATAGCAATCTCGATGCTACCGAATATAATAAATAAGTGGTTGATGCGGATCGCAAATACCCAATTGAAAGCATGGTACGCCAGGATAAACGAGAAAATATTCTTGAAGATGATGAGGTTCGTGAACGCCTCAACCGCAAGGTCGCGATGAGCGTCGAGGAGGTACTGGGCTGAGGCGATGGAGCCCATTACCATGCTGATTATGATAAATGCGAGAAATACCTCGGGGACGATCCAACCATAGCGGGCCACATTGTTTGCTGTTATACCGAAGCCGTAGAGACCGACGCAGGAGAACACGAGCGTCGGAATGACGAGCAGGATACGGAACTCGGGTTCGTACTTGCCCCGGTTGAGTTTGATCATGAATCGCGTAGTGAACTCGCTGTACAAACCAGCACCGAGCAGGCCGAGGATGCTGCCGATGAACGCGCTGGTGTACATCTTGCCCGCCCTCTCTTCGTTGAAGAAGAGAGGCGGCCCTAGGAAGATTAGAGAGAGTATAACTCCAACCATGACAGTCCAGCCGATAATCACTCCTTGGAGCAGACAAGCCCACAGGACTGCGGGATGCAGGAACAATGGGAACGGTCGGAAGAGAAGCTTGAAGAAGGACTCGTCCGTCTTTCGACCGTTGAATGGCATCAATTGGCGCCAGTAGGAATGCCTCGAGGGGGGTGTTTCGACGACTGCGGAAGATTGCAGAGCCTTTTCCTCCGCGTCTTTTGCAGTCGACGTCTCAGGACTCCCGACCGTTTCTTTCGATGAGTCCTCCTCAGCGAGAAGATCGAGATTGAGAGAGTGTGCTCGTCGATAAGCCGTCTCAGGCACGAAGAAGAAGAGGAGAAAGAACCCCAGGGCCATAAAGATGGAAAGGAAGAAGAACTGGGTGATTTGAGGTTAGCAAATCTTTGGTGTTAAGAACCAGATATGTCCCCTTATTTGCCCAAGATGCACGACTGGAGGATCTGCTCATGATTGCATGACCATCACTCAAATATGTGACGACGCGAGGACGATACGAACGGGAACTTACACTCCATTGCCAGCCCATGTGCGCAGTGATCATACCCACAAAGACTGGTGTCAGGAAGGCCCCTCCAAAAAGACATGTATTTGTGATCGCCATTCGAACTCCACGCTCATGGACGTAATATAGATCTCCAACACAGGCATTGACCAGGGCCTCAAAGGGGGCCAGTGCAACTCCCTGAAAGACGCGACTCCATAATAGGCTGGCATAATTGTGACCGATATGTGTGGAACCGCCCCAGGCAGAACTCGCGACCATGAGCAGCGCTCCTAGGAGAAACAGGTGTCTCTTGCCCCAGACTCTTGCGGATGCGACAAATAGCCATCCCGCCACACCCACGCCGCAGAGATGGTAGGCAGTGAGAAGGGCAGCATCTTGGAATGTTCGCTTGAAGACGATGGCGAGAGTCGTTGAATCTGCGGCGAGGAGGGGAGAAGCTGTCGTGGCAAGGCAAGATACAAAGCAGAGTATTCCGAGAATGAGGTCGCGTTGCCAGATGGGCCAATTCTGTGCGTCGCCAATTAGTTCCAGTGTTCATGAAGTGCGTCGCTAGAGAGCCACAAACCAAGGGATCATTTGGGTCATCCGAGGGCTGGGGGACGAGAATGACTCGCCCCGTCTTGTCCTTCTTCAGATGCTGAGCATTATCCAACAGCTCAGCATGTCGCTGTTCCGACTCGTACACATACACCGTTCCCGGGACGTGCTCGACATTTGGCTCCAGAATCCCTAGAGCCATTGCTGAGCTAAAGTCGCTGACGTTGGCGGAGTACGTTGGCGGAGTAGCTGAAATCGCGGGGAGTGGATCTCGCCGATTTATCTCGATGCAGAGCTCATGGTGGAGCACAGATAGGACTTGCACCACCAACGCGACGTTCAAACACAACAATGAATCCCCAGAAGTGTTCAATGCCAGAAGGTGACCTGGCTCGGAGACACAATGAAGATGGCGCGGCTCGAGCCACAAAGAGATTCGAATGCAAGCGACAGTTCCCCGCCTCGGCTCTGGACCTCATCCCCGAGTGCCTGCGTAAGAGCAGGTCGAGAAGAGCAAGCAACGAGATAACCACAAGACTTCAGTTGTCTCGATTAGCGGGCTTTTTTACCCACAAAAGCGGACTCATATCTATCTATGTACACACACAGTAAGTCTACCAAAGCTCCCTGGACTCAATCAATAGTCTTCATTGCTGGCTTTCGAGCTTTTGATATCCCGCCTTCGTGGCGGTTCCGACCTGGTGACAAGTGGTCCATGTAGGTTGTGGGTTTTTGAGCCCTGCTTCAGAGGCAATAGATGAAAGGTGCTATGTACAACGGTAGGGAGTGTCGTTCAAACACCGTCAACAAAAGCAGCAACCCTGTTGAATAGGCATTGCTCTCCTTTTCATTCTCTTCTGCTCGGTGCGGTGGACTCCGTCTAACCATCCTCGGTCCACAGGGGGATTGACGACCTCTCTCAGTCATCTGCCTTTCTCAGTCCCATGCATTGTCTTGTTCCACAACTTCTCAGGCATCATGGGGTCGTTTGGCCGCTGGTCACCTCCGATTCCTTCCTGTTGATACCCTTTGGGGTTGCTTGTGGCCGAACCCTCTCTCATCGGTGCATCTTGTTTCTGGCCTTGAACCGTGCCTCCATATGCCTTGGTATGTGTGGATGTGGCACCACCGTTTGCATACGCCTTTTCTATATTCTGCACACTGGTGGTTTTGAAGGTGGTGACTGGAGCACCAGGGACTGCAGGTGAGGTTTGTGGCCAAAAATACAGTACTGCGCCCACGACCACGCCACCAAGGGCTACACGACGGCCAAGAGACATGCTGCTCGTTCAACGAAAGTCCGGCGAGAAGGGGAGGAAAAGCGAGAGTATTGCACTGCCGCTAGGCTATGTGAGAGGATCTCTTAAGTCGTAGAAGGAAATAGGGAAAAGCTGTGCTATTCGTAGAGAGAGAAGTTTCGCCAATGTAATGGTCAACAGTAGAAATCCCACATATGGACTGTCACCGCACTGTCTAGAAGATTGAAAATATCTCACTTCATGGGGGGGAAATTAAGGTCAAGAATGCCCCCAGCGAAGTTGGTACTGAACGCTGCTCATTGATCATGACGCAACAGAGAGTTTAGGCAAGGCACCAGGAACCTTTGCTCAGGGCCCGAATCTGAGAGCAAACTTGAAGTAAGGCATATTCCGCTACTAGTACGATCTGGTGGTCTTCATCGTCAAATTGGTGTCGAACCCTGCGGTGTTGAGGTTTAAAAGACACAAAGGGCAACATGTGGAAATGAAGTCATGACTTTTTAAGGCCATCAAATCAACGCAGGTCGAGGGTTCCAGTGAAGCTTTGTGGCGCTGCCAAGGAAATATGAGGTCAAGGTCACGTGTCTGCCTGAGTGTGAGACGGAGATGCTCATGCAGAAGGCAGAGACACAACCGGGAGCTATGAGACGAAGAAACACGCCGACTAGAAACACAACGGTTGCAGATCTCAAAGTGTGATTGTGGACCTTTCCGCGACGCGCTTGCTAACTCCATTCATCAATCCACCTGAGCTAAAAGCTATGTGGTATCGTAGGAGACAATAAAACGAAGAAATCAGGATTGCCTGGGGGGGATTGCATTCGACATGGTTGGGGGGAATAGTTTGGGGTAGGTAGTCTGCCCGGATCTGGGAGTCTTGGTAGTTTTCTCTCTGTGCCTTTATCTGGGCCCATTTGAACAAATCACTGCACACGCCTTCCTGTGCAACACCTAGAATCCGAGCTCGTTACAGACAGGACAGTGCGAGTGCTGCCATTTTGAGCAAAAACCTTGCCCGATTATCGTAGAGAGTCGCTGTTAAGCCAGAGTCGCCAAAAGGCGGGAAGGAATGCACGGCTGCCTGTTGGAACTCTTTCTAGGAAGGTGGAGCGGCCTCTGACTTCTCTGCAGTCTCAGCAGAAGCACCGGTCTCGGCGGGTTTGTCTTCCTTGGGAGCGTCGCCAGCGGGACCAGCTTCACCTTCACCACCATCGGACGATGTCCACAATGTTAAGTTGTCTCGAAGCAACTGCATGATAAGCGTGCTGTCGCGGTACGATTCCTCGGACAGCGAGTCGAGTTCGGCAATGGCATCGTCGAAGGCTTGTTTAGCAAGGTGACAGGCACGATCGGGGGAGTTGAGGATTTCGTAGTAGAAGACGCTGAAGTTGAGGGCGAGACCGAGACGGATAGGGTGGGTAGGGGTGAGTTCAGTCTGTGCTACATCGGTAGCATTCTGCAAGCAGGGGGTCAGCGAAATGTTTGTGTCCAGGAGGGCATCTGTCATACCTTGTAGGCCTCATGAGCGGCAGTGGCCGCAACCTTGCGCTTCTCGCCAGAAGCGAATTCAGCCAGGTATCGATGATAATCTCCCTTCCTGTTCACCATGTTAGTCCCGTTCAAGGCATTCTGAGAGTTTGGGGATGACGTACATCTTGTGATAGAAGACCTTGGACTCGCCCGATTCGGCCTTTGGAATGAGGGCTTTGTCGAGGACGTCGAGAACATCTTGACAGACCTTCTCAAGTTCGCTCTCGATCTTCTGGCGGTACTCGCGAATCGTGGCAACGTGTTTGTCAGAACCTTTGGATTCCTCCTTTTGTTCAATGGAGGAAATGATGCGCCAGGAGGCACGTCTGGTTCCAACGACGTTCTTGTACGCAACGGAAAGAAGATTTCTCTCGTCAACAGACAACTCGCCGCCCATCTGCCATGAGTCAGCCCATTCTGTCCCCGAACATCTGTCCAAAGGTGTAAACATACGTTGGCCACCTCTTTCATGTAGTTGACCATTTCATCGTAGCGCTCAGCCTGTTCACAGAGCCTCGCAAGGAATGTTTTACTGGAAGGACGTCAGTGAATCGATCAACCGTGGCGGGGATGAGGCATTGATACCTTTCGCGCTACAAATCGCATTCATGTTAGTATACAGTCTTATCAATGACAATATCGATGGGGGATTCAGGATCAACAGTGAAAGCGAGCTGAGACTGAACCTGAAGGCGGGGGAAGCAGCACTTACGTCGGTAGCCATTGTAAAGAACGGGGAGAATTGATGACAAGAGGAGGGAGTTGTCAATGGGTTGTGCAGATGTGGACGAGGAAAGAGATTGGGAGATGGGGGATGAAAATCGAAGGACGAGTTGAATATCTGGTGATGGGAAACGGGGCCCAGGTTGCAGATTGATGGTTTTGTGAGTGACGGCTCATAAGGCAGTTTGATGCTTAAAAGGCTAGAGCATCACTAAGTCACCCAGGCACTGTTGGCGCTAACCGCTCTAGGCGCTCTGGGCCTACCACTGGGAGGTGACGAACAATTCATTTTGTTTGACGCCAGCGCCTGAAACCCCTTGGTGACAGGTTTCAGGATTCACCACTCTGGGCCTTCCCTCTGAGCCTCTAAGGCTTGTTATTGATAGGCAGCAGGAAGACCCCCAAGAGGTACCTTCGAGTAAGAACTTGCAGTACATCATACCCTGAACTACTACTGGACAATTTCCTGCCTCTCAGTTGGCCCTCCGTACAAACATACTCGTACAGACATAAGTCCACCCTCTGTAGTTCCCCCCAAAGCAACTTCGCCTAATTCAAGTAGTTCTAACCGTTGAGATGTAGGGCAAATCGAAACTGTAGAGCAACCACTCTGATTGACCTGTGTAGCCGCTACTGCTTCCTTGGGAATGTACCCCAAACGCCTCCAAAATGGGCTCGTATTTTCGCCCACGCAGAGCGGCCAGGTTGCTTCTTTTTTTTCTCTCGCCGGCATCTGGAATTTTCGATGATTATTGAACTGTGTCCACCGTGTCCAGTTCACCACGTGGGGCAACCGACTTTCTATCGAATTCACTGCCCATAGTCACTCCTTTCGCCATAGACCTGCTATATAGATTTCAGCCCCTCGTCGTTTATCTGTGATATTCAGTGGGTTATTTAGACGGTTGGCGGTGCATGGATGTTTTCAGGCCGTTCATCAGCAACCTCATTTTCTTTTCCCTCTCATAGTCATTCGCTTCCGATCATTCCAACATGGAGCACGCATATGTTCGCGCCACAGAAGAGGTGCTGAGCCATTTTCATGTCACCGAAGCAGCCGGTCTGTCGTCTGCGCAAGTCGCGGAATCCAGGAAACGATATGGAAACAACTGTGAGTTTCCCACCGCGAAAGAGGAACAAATCAAACGCTAACAAAGCGCAACAGCTCTCCCAGAAGACCCTCCCACGCCCCTCTGGCAACTCGTTCTTGAACAGTTCAAAGACCAATTAGTTCTCATACTGTTGGGTTCGGCTGCTATATCTTTCATCCTGGCCCTGTTTGAAGAGTCGGACGACTGGACTGCGTTTGTCGACCCTGTGGTAGTACGTTGAACCGGATCCCACTGCGAGCTGGCCCAGACTAATACATGTACCTCCAGATCTTGACAATCCTCATCTTGAATGCGATCGTCGGTGTGACACAAGAAAGCAGTGCTGAAAAGGCAATTGCAGCGTTACAAGAATATTCCGCAAACGAAGCGAAGGTGATTCGGGATGGACACGTCCAGAAGATCAAGGCAGAGGAGCTTGTGCCAGGAGACATTGTTACAGTCGCCATTGGAGATCGGATACCGGCCGACTGTCGACTGTTGTCCATTCAAAGCAACAGTTTCGCCGTGGACCAGGCTATCTTGACAGGCGAGAGCGAGAGTGTGAGCAAGGATTGCAAAGCCGTAGACGATGTGCAGGCTGTCAAACAAGATCAGGTCAACATGCTCTTCTCTGGTACAACAGTGGTGACGGGACACGCTACCGCCATCGTCGTTCTTATTGGTAGTTCCACGGCGATAGGCGACATCCACGAGAGCATTACCTCGCAAATTTCGGAGCCAACGCCACTCAAGGAGAAGCTCAACGATTTCGGCGACACCCTAGCCAAGGTCATTACAGTAATTTGCGTATTGGTCTGGCTGATCAACATCCAACATTTCAATGATCCCTCGCACGGTGGAAGCTGGGCAAAAGGTGCCATCTACTACCTCAAAATCGCCGTGTCATTGGGCGTTGCTGCAATCCCAGAAGGTCTCGCCGTGGTTATCACAACATGTCTCGCTTTGGGCACGAGAAAAATGGCGGCTAAGAACGCCATTGTCAGGAGTTTGCCATCGGTCGAAACGCTGGGTAGCTGCAGTGTGATATGCTCCGACAAAACCGGTACTCTCACGACCAACCAGATGAGTGTTGCGAAGATTGTCTATCTCAGTGAGTCTGGCGATGACCTGGAGGAAATTGAAGTCACAGGGACCACCTTCGCCCCGACTGGAGATCTCATCCGCAATGGCAAGAAGCTCGAGAATGCTGCAGTAAACTCAGACACCATCAAGCAAATGTCAGAAGTCCTGGCGCTTTGCAACGAGGCTCATTTGTCATACGACGCAAAAAATGACACGTATGCAAGCATCGGAGAACCTACTGAGGGAGCTCTTCGCGTTCTGGTTGAGAAGATTGGCACCGGTGATGGGGCAAAGAACGAAACTCGAGCCAGTTTGTCGGGCGCTGAGCGAGTAGATTTTGCCAGTAAGTACTATGAGGAAAAGCTTCCTCTGCAGGCAATGTATGAGTTCTCGAGGGATCGAAAGAGCATGTCTGTGCTGGCTGGAACAGGCCCAGCACAAAAGCTTCTCGTCAAGGGTGCCCCCGAATCGATCATTGAACGCTGCTCTCATGTCATCCTGGGGTCCAATGGCAAGAAAGTACCTATCAACAAGCGGCACCAGGCGCTCCTGGCTCAGGAACTCGTTGCCTACGGGCGGCATGGTCTTCGCGTGCTGGCGTTGGCCAGCGTCGAAAGCGTCAGTGGAAACGCGCTCCTGCGCACAGCAAAGAGCAACAAAGCGTATGCCGAATTGGAGCAGAACATGACCTTGATCGGGCTGGTCGGTATGCTCGATCCGCCTCGCCCAGAAGTGGCCAAGTCCATCATGAAGTGCAGAGAAGCAGGGATCCGGGTGATTGTGATAACTGGTGACAATCAGAATACCGCCGAAACGATCTGTAAACAGATTGGCATCTTCCAACCAGATGAAGATATCACCGGCAAGAGCTTCACTGGTCGACAATTTGACTCTCTCACAGAAAGCGAAAAGCTCGAAGCTGCAAAGACAGCGTCTCTGTTTTCTCGTGTCGAGCCCACTCACAAGTCGAAACTTGTCGACCTCTTGCAGGAAGCTGGCGAGGTAGTGGCCATGACGGGTGATGGCGTGAACGACGCCCCAGCACTGAAGAAGTCTGACATTGGAGTGGCCATGGGTACCGGAACCGACGTTGCGAAACTGGCCGCCGACATGGTACTTGCGGATGACAACTTTGCCACGATTGAAGTTGCCATTGAAGAAGGCCGCACCATTTACAGCAATACCCAGCAATTCATCAGGTATCTCATCTCGTCTAATATTGGCGAAGTGGTCTCGATTTTCCTGACCGCTGCCATGGGCTTACCCGAAGCCTTGATTCCGGTCCAGCTTCTCTGGGTGAATTTGGTCACGGATGGTCTTCCAGCCACGGCTCTCTCGTTCAATCCGGCTGATCATGATGTGATGCGGCGGACTCCACGAAAGCGCGATGAGCCCCTTGTGTCTGGGTGGCTGTTCTTCCGATACATGGTCGTTGGCACATATGTGGGCGCCGCTACAGTTTTTGGCTATGTCTGGTGGTTCATGTTCTACCAATCTGGCCCTCAAATCAGCTTTACACAACTTCGAAGCTTCCACAGATGTTCACCAACCAATTCAATCTTTGAGAATGTCGACTGCGCCATATTCTCACCTTCATCGGTGTCGACGCGCACTGCTTCGACCGTTTCCTTGTCCATCTTGGTTGTGATCGAGATGTTCAACGCAATGAATGCCCTCAGCTCTTCGGAAAGCTTGCTTCAACTTCCGCTCTGGAAGAACATGAAGCTGATCTACGCAATTTGTCTCTCCATGCTTCTACACTTTGCCATTCTGTACACACCCATTCTGCAGGGCGTCTTCTCCATTGAAGCTCTGGGGTGGGATGAGTGGGCGGCTGTGCTATGGATCTCGGCGCCTGTCATCTTGATAGACGAAGTCCTCAAGGCGGCCGAGAGGGCCCTGTATGTGAATTCCAAGGCGGAACGGAGGAGACGGGCCAGTATCTCGGGTGGAAGTGGGTTGAAAGGGGAAGGGAATGGGGTCGTGGCCAACGGCAAAATCAAGGCGAATTGAGAAATGCTAGATGGGAGGAGAGCCTGAGAAGACAACGTTCATGTGATATTACACTCCTGCGATACAATCCGATACCTTCAATGGGATGCCGTGGTCAATCAATCATTATTTCCTGATGCTTCAACCACACCCCCATCTAACACACTTCTAACAACCGACATCCGACGTTTGATGGAAGCCCCAAACGGCAAAAGAGAGACGACGAGTAAGGGTACATACATACTTTATAGACATGTTTTCCAAATAGATGGATAGATAGATGGTATCAAAGAAGAAAAATAAAAACATCCGCTACAAACCTACATGTAAGGGGATATATATATATATATATATATGTAGACTCGAAAAGGGGGTGGGTGGTTGTCTGTCTGGCTGGCTAGTTACCCACGTACGTAGACAGGCCGAGAAGTTGTTATATAGACCATACATACATACTAGCATACACTATATACATATACATATACGGTATACGCACAGCATAAGTATGCATATGCACATGGACATGGCTTGTCATTCATGTCTAGAGTTTCACTGGCTGGAAGACGTCGAGACTGGGGCGGTGTCGATGGTAATGATGGTGGCCGTGGCTTTAGTCTTGGTAATGACATTCATGCCGTATGGCGTCTTATTGTGCCTTGCCTTCCCTCTCCCTCTCTCTGTTCTCGTCGTGACTGTGGTAAAGAAAGCCTCTCGTTCAATGCAGGGATTATCAAAGTACTCCGTTGGACTCTTTTCACCCGCTTTCGATTGTGGTTCCAAACGGACCAAGAGTGACCTATATATCACACACATATCTGGCTCATCAGCATATCTCTTGAGCAGGCGGGATTGTCTCTCCTAGTACCTGTATACTTGTAGCTCAAGTCCCATCATATCTCGTCTCCGCCACATCTCAGCTCATGACTCTCTCGGCTCGTTCAGTATCGAGACACATTTTCGCCCATGTGCATGCTCCCCAAGTTCCCTGGATGTTGGCAAATATAATCTCATCAATAAAGGGGACTCATTCATCATAACTGTACGCCCCAAAATCCTTTTCCACCACAGACCCCGAGCGTTCCCGCTGTCGGAGCCCAGCTCAAATTGCTCACTTCAAACTTGCACTCCCAGACTGCCGACGGGCCTCGCTCCTGTCCCTGTCCCTGGACCACGCCGCTGCTGTTTGTTACACCACCTGGCACACTATTCGATCCAGTCGACGCACTCGAGCCCATGAGGTCCCAGAGCAACACACAACAATCATCTGCCCCAGAGGCGAGTACGCCGCGCTGCGAATTGCTCCAATCGATACAATTCACGGCGGCACCGTGCCCTTTCAATTCAAGTAAGGCCTGGCCAGGCTGCCGGACGTCCAAAACACGGATGATGTTCGAGTCTTGGCTGAAGGTGGCGAGCAGGTGAGCATCGTGGGGAGAAGCCGCGATGCGGAGCAAGGGAGGCGGAAAAGAGAGCGTCGATATCCCCCCCGAACCTGATGCCCGTGTTGGTGAGGCGGAAAGAGGATCGGCCAGTTGTGCTTTGCGCTGGTTAGCTTCACGGATGTATGGGTAATGTATGCTCGAGACTTACGGTTCTTCTCCTGCTGCTGCTTTTCCGATGGCTCATAAATAATGGTGCTGTGTTCGAGGCTTCTCAGATCAAACATCCTCACACTTCCGTCTGCACCGCACGAGACAAACACATCTACGCTGTTCGCGCAAAACCGCACATCGTAGACTTCTTTGTCATGTGCAATGAGCTGCGTCTTAGCCGTAAGCGTGGGAATGTCCCAAATGGTGCAGGTCGTGTCGATGGACGAGGTGATGATCAGTGAGGGCTGCACCACATTCCAATCTAGCGAGGTGATGGGTGCAGTGTGTTCGGGAGATTTCGAGTTCGAGAGCAAGGCAAGTGGTGACAGTTTCTGTAATGGAGGAGTTTTGCTGTTCGTCGGTCGGGTGACTGAATTCGACGGATACGAGTGTTGGTCGTTCGGCAGAGACCACAATCGAAGATGGTCGCCGGATGTTGCTAATAGATCCGTCGTCTGCTTGTTCGATGAAGGCGGTTCCCACAATATCCTAGTTACAGGATATGCATGTGTAGCTTCTGCGGTTTTGATAAACTCCAGGCCTCGCTCACCGTGGGTGTTCTCTGGGTCTATTTGCGATCTTTGAGTGTCCAGTATTTGAATCTACCCCGACAGTGTCAATTACCAGAATCCTTCTGATTTCCCAGCAATGGTCAATACTCACGTAATTATGATTGTCCTCCAGATAGCTGCCAATGGCCACTTTGCCTGCCGAACCGTTGCTGGACCGAGGGGGCCATTTACACCAATCCGCTGCGTAGATGGGCCAAGGCGCAATATAGTTGCTGTTTTGAGGGTACTGTATAATGTCGTTCTCTTGCGCTACACCCGGACTGAAAGGTATGTCTGTAAAAGTCGGGTCTGTCCTCGGTCTGATGTCCGCTAGTCCGAGAGGAGAGTATGAGGGGGGTCCTTGAGGAGTCTGTGGCAGGTATGAATTTGGGGCAGAGGGATATTTGCTCTGATCGGGAGTATCTGAGAATGGTTTGTATTTTGGCTGGTCCATGGCGCCGGGGCTGGACCGAGAGTAGGAGTGGGTGTGATTCAGTGGCTGTCTTGCGGACAGAGGAGGTGGTTGTTGCTGCTGTTGTTGTTGCTGCATCTGAGTGGATATCTGAGGTAAAGTAGGTAGAGTAGGAGCCGTATTGCTGGCGGCTAGAGTCGCGGGTCTGCTTGCAAGGCCTGGTTGTAGTGTGCCCGGGATAGGCTGACTGGCAACGCTGCTAGGATGCTGAGGCGTAGAGGGCTCGATCTTGATGGACAGTGCTTCCCCTGTGTAGGCTGGCGGTGCACCATAGTGGTGGACGTCGCTCATCGCTGTGCCTTGCTGATTCAAATGCAGTTCGTCGGCCTGCTGGCGACCGATTGTCAGAGACCGCCTCAGACCTGGCTGGTATTGGCCAGTCTGGGCCTCTTGCACACTTGTATACGCGGACGGCGGAGGACCAGGACGGTATGGAATCACGGTACCGTTGCCATTGGTGTTTGGCTGCGATTGAGGTAGGTAGGGTCTGGATTCGGGAGCCGTGGTGGGCGGATCGGGTTGGTGGTTGTTCAAGTATTGAGGGTTTGGGGCTCCGACGGAGGTCACGGTCTGGCCAGCAGAGTAAATGGCATTGACGGCGCTGTAGTAGTTGTCGTGGGAGAATTGCGGGTCAGAGAGTTGGTGCTGGTGGTGAGGAATGTGGAATGGCATACTAGGTAAAGGGAGCAGCGAGGCAGAGTATCAGCACATGCGGACCAAATTTGTGTTTCTGCGTGCGCGGTGAGAATCAGTCCAGTTACAACCTTGTGTTCCGTTCACGCACGAGCGCAAGGGCGGCAGCGTGTCTTTGTCAGGCATGGCCCGGGCATGTTTCAGGCTCCCCATTGTCAGCCGCTTAAGCGCGAGGGGGTCGTTAGTAGGGGCGGGAATGGCGTAGGGCGCAGGACGAGACAAGGAGGGGGGCGCATGCGCTCCGGATAGTCATTGGGCACAAGACAACCTCAGGACATGCGGCCTGCGGGAAAATAGCCCCGGTTCTCACTCACCTCGGTACATATGTTCTTGACGTTGACGATAGAATGATCACTCTCCCTGGAAGACGAGAATGCTATAAGACGACAGTGTGCACGAAATCATCGCTTCTCTCATACAGCTTCCTGATTTCCCACCCAATATCATTCTTGTTGTCCCTCAAGAGTCCGTGAAACAATGGCGCAGGGTGTCTCGCTACTTCTCTTGCCGGCTCTGGCTCCATCTCCATCGTCCTCCTCGTTCAGCTCAGCGTACAAGATCACATTTGAGTCCTTACTGCCCAAGCTTGTCCCTGCCGACAAAGACTCCACCTCCCGTCTGGACGTCGGTCTGGTCCTGTCTTCGTCTTATCCCGTGAGCACTGACACTTCACGCGCCACTGTATTTCCCCTCATCCAAGACCTCTTGAAGAAGTCGTACAGCCTTGTTTGTACCGTCGCCGCTCAGAAAGGGATCGACCTCGACTTCCCTGGCGGTATCGATGTGAGGATATTCGTCTTGGAAGCTCGGCTGGACGAACTGCCGGACAATGTTGTCGGCAAGCAATATCTCTCCGGACCAATTGTGGACATCAAGACATTCGCCCTCTCCGACCGATCTTACACGGCTCTCTATTCTGTCGAAGGTGAGGGTCAAGAGGCCACCCTGCAGCAAGTGATCAGAATATGGAACTCCAAGTCCAGCCCTCCGCCACTACCACCCATTCACCGTCTCCAGAGTGGCCCTGCGATTAATCATCCCGAAAGCACCTCTGAAAAACACTCGGAATCAATCATCGAAGACGGACCGCTTCCGATCCACCGATCTGTCGCTGTTGGCGGTACATTTGACCACGTACATATTGGCCACAAACTGCTCCTAACCGCTACAATTCTCACGGCAGAGCCAGCTCAGTCTCCCAACCCCAAGTCGAACGAATCCCGATTGATCACGGTGGGTATCACCGGAGACGAACTACTCGTTAACAAAAAGTACGGCTCATTAGTCGAACAATGGAATGTCCGACAACAACGTACCGCGGATTTCATAGACTCCATTCTGGCGTTCTACCCTCGCAAGTCAAGCACGGGCACAACTACAGCAGGGAATAGTCCCTCCGCCACCGAGTATATCGACCAACCGGGCCCTAATGGCAAGGTCGTCCGTGTCAAATACCATCTCCCCAGCCCCTCCGCTGTAAATGCAAGCAACGGCGCGGCAGACATAACGATAAACTACACCCAAATTTCCGATCCGTTTGGGCCTACCATTACAGACCCGGATATCACTGCATTGGTAATTTCGGCCGAGACGCGCAGTGGCGGGAAGGCCGTCAACGACAAAAGGAAGGAAAAGGGCTGGAAAGCTCTAGAAATTTTCGAGGTCGATGTCTTGGATGCAGGCGTTGGACTAGACGACGAGCTGACCAAGGACGAGGAACAAAAGACGACCTTTGAGACTAAAATCAGCAGTACCGAAATCAGAAGAAGGCTACAGGAGCGAGGGCCAGCAACGCACCACTAGAATACGCGCAATGGTCGCAGTTTTAAGTCTTGGATAACGAGCCTGCCTCAAACGTGGGCCTGGCTTGGATCGCGGTGATGACAGATATATCGAGGTGTACACGGGGTCACTGGTATTACAGCAGTCGCCGGCGTCATGATCTACTGATGAAATGTGGAGTTGGATTAGCTGACGATGTGTCTAAAAACATGCAACCAGCGGCTAAGGGCTCACTGAGTATTTATGCCGCCGTTGCACATATCAAAGTCATGCACCATCAAAGAGTTTCACAGTCCAATATCTCATAGGTCATCTATCTCCGATACCACCATCTTCTGAACTCCCGTTGACATAGTCTGTGCTCCAAAGCAATTGATACGCGAGATTCGGTAGAGCTTCCAAGAGAGTGTGGGCGATTTCGTGATACCTATGCCGCTCTTATATTCTGCTTGGCTGATTGAATTGTTGGCTAAAGATGATCGAGATCACCTTCTGCGGAATCTATGGCACGCTGTTCCATTCCCGGAGGAAACGGGTCGTATTTCCTTCTCCTTTATGCCTCGGCGTCATTCGAAGTTCCTGTGTTTGCCAGTGGGATCGACGTCTCCTTGACCAGGACATGTGGTTGCTCGCTTTCCAAGTGTGGCAACGCTCCTGCCAAAGGATTCTTGGTCGTCACAAAGGGGTCGTCATCTGGTGATCCACCGGGAAACAGCGCAAAGAAACTGCCAAAAGGGGAGTCGGATGGCGGAAGTCCTGGATCGGTTGGTGGTCGCACAGGAGATTTCCACGCCAAAGGGTTTGTCCCTGTTCCACGGAAGGTGAGTGGAGGTCCAGGCAAAGATGGCATATTCTCGTTTTCAATGTGTGTTTCGTAGAATGCCTGATATTCCTGAGATACAGGTCGGTAGGATGCAAAGGGGTCAGTAAATTGCAGGGCGGACTGATATGGTGGATGAAGCCACGGCGTGGAAACCTTGGGTAGTTGCTGGAAAGTGCTGTTACCATAGCCTCGACTTCCAGATTGAAGAGGGTTTCGACTCCCGCTCCTCGACATGCTTGCATGATAGGTGGGACTTCCGTCGGCGAAGACTTCGAATGGAGGAGGCCGTTTGTGAGTGGCGAGAGATTGCATTGCCGGTTTGATGTCTTCCTCCTCATCTTCAGTTGGGAAATAGCGAGAACCCAATCCATAAGAGTCACCCGTGGATGAACTTGGTAGGTATGGAAGGGGAGGCAGCCCCTGGGCGAACGGAAGATCAGCATATCTCTTTGGGACACCAGCTTTAACCTTGCGTTTCACCAGCCGAGGCGCATTGACGTCTTTCTCCGCAAGTGGCCTTCTCTTGCGAGGTCGAGGAGGTTGCTTGACTTTGGGAATGGGAGTCTCGCCTTCTACCAAACTGCTCCCATCTTCAAGGTCATCAATGTGTCTCGCTTTCAGAACATTCGTGCCGCTCGGTGAGAAGACGACCTCGGTAGGTTCAACCAAGGCAGCGAGTCTCTCCATGCGTCTGAGAACGGAAGCGTCCTTCTTCTGATTGCGTTTTTGCTGCATCTCCTGCGTGGCAGCATCAAAAAGATCCATGCCTGGCCAGACGGTTCCCTTCAGCTTCATATGCTCTGGTGTGGCAAGAACTGGAGCTGGCCGGTCATCCTCAGCTGGACGGTCGTTACGGGAGGGGTAGTCATCGTCAGAGAATGGGGACTGCTTGATGGGAGAGTAAGCTTGAAGTCGACTTGTTCTGCGTCTGAAGTACTTGATCAGTGTCGGCTGGTGAGACTTTCAGGAGAGGTGCTTACCTAGAAGGTTTGACAGGGCTGAAGTCCGAGTCACTGTCGTCGACGGCCCGTGTTGCCTGTTTATTTCGAGTGCTTCTCCGCTGGATCTGGGTCTGGGCCAGGGCCCTTGGTCTCCCTGGTCGTCTTGGAGGCAACGGTTGATTCAATTGTACATGGTCAAATATTCCAGGCTGTGGTTCGCAGGTGTTTCGTGTCACAGCTGAAGCTCTTTTCTTTTTGGCTTGCTTGTTCTCTTTCATTTGCATTCTCTCCGAAAGCAGTCTGTCAATATCATGTTGCTGATACCAGTGGTTGTATTTAGCCAGTTCCACGCCGGCGGCAATGTCTTGGTAGCTGCGTACTTGGAGTTTGTGGAACTCGGATAGGTGTCCCTTGGAACTGACGTGAGTGAGCAAGTGGGAGGTGTCACTGAAAGAGGGTTGGCCTGGGCAGATGCTGCAGTTCAGCAAGGCCAGAGCCATGATGGCGCATGTAGCTGCCGGGAGAAGAAATAGAAGGGATGTGAGGAAACAGTGAGGCAGAATTGGAACGACAGGGACAACAGCACAAAAGCCTCGAGACAGGGACGAAATGCGGGGGACCCGTATCTTCCTCCTGCACTCCGAACGGGATGAATGAATGAACAAGAAAGAGAGAAGGGAGCACAATGGGCGGAGAGAAGTAGCCCAGCAAGAGGAGTTGTGGCAGCGTGAGGAAGCAAGAGGTGCAATGAACGGCGGAGGGAAGAGAGAAAGGAGAAAGTTCGTGCACCGCATCCCGGAGAATGAGGAAACCCCAACCCGGCCTCACCATCTCGTCGCCTCTGGAAAGGCAGGAGCCTCCTTAATTACGCTCGCTAGCATCTTGGGTCTATCAATCACCACGAAAAGCTGGCCGCGAGACTTGGAAGACGCGGCTTCAAGCTCATTTGGGTCACCATTGGATGAGACTCGCCCTCCGCATACCATCCATATTGATCAAATATCCTCCAATTGTGTCACCAGGTCTATACTTCCTCTAGAACAAGGACAGTAGAGTGATGAAGCGGATATAGGCCGTGGTGAAGCTTTGATCTTCTCTTGCCTTGTATCCCAACTTTCAATTGCCAAGTCAAGTGGGTTATTAGATGGCAAGAGGATTGTCACCATGGACAATTCAACATTCTTTCCAGTATGGCAAGGCTTTGGTGATGGCTCGGGGCATGCAGCTGAAAGGGCCCAATTAGTCCGGTACAAGAGAAGACGCTGTCGCTGGGGAACTTACTACACAGGATCGACCTCGACGAGCCCTGGGTAGCCCAGCAAGCTCAAACCTGCGAGGCCGAATACCGTATGGAAAACATCCACCATATCGCCAGGTCTGTCCGCAAATCCTCCTTGGTCGGCGTCTTGACACCTCAGAATAAACTTGATCAGTTCTGAAGCATCGATCCAATGAAGTTTGCCCAACATTGCGATGCTACTAAGAACCCACCAGCTATAGCACACATCTTCAAGTTTCTCTGGCCGGCCATTCAGCCCACCATTGGGAAGTTGTCTTTCACTTAGCCAAGCAGCCAGTCGATCATGATCCACAATGTCTAGTCGACGAGCGATGGTCAATGCCCCGAGGCAAGTGAAGATTTGGCCGGAATGAGACTCGGCGCCTGGCGAACGGCCAAACCCTCCATCAAAATTTGCGCAGGCCTGAATGTGAGAGACGGCCTTGTCCACGTCCACCAGGTGCATCATGTTTAGTATGGAAAGGGCATTGAAGGCACCGTATAGGAAACGTGTGTCTGTTTCACCCCACTCATCTCCGGCGAAAGTACCAGTGTTGACGTCCTGAAGGCTCGCAATATCTGCGAAGTTATCAGCAATGCTATTTTCAACTTAGTAAGATGCGAGATCGGGTACATTTTGCTATCCGCTCCTTTCCTCCTCTTTGTGGCGACTCCAAGTCTTGTAGCGCGTTGATTGTGGCAAGAATTTGGACGGCGCTGACTGTGTATAACATGTGGGAGTCATGGCCAGGAGCAGCACCAAAACCTCCATCCGGGTTCTGGCAAGAAAAGACGAATTGTAACGTTTTATCACGAGGTAGAGCATGTGGATGGCCCAGGAGGTGAAGCGCCGTCAGACCCCAATATACCCCGTTTAATCTTAGATGTTCGGTCAACCAGTAGTCGAGCTCATCTTTTCGCTGGCACAAAGTATCAACATCTTGTACAGTGTAAGGTACTCACATGGACGCACGGTATCCAAAAGTTGAATATACTTGACATGTTTTTCGACCACCAGGCTGACATCCTCCGGCACGATGGAGTGCGATCCCCCTACCCCAGGTCCTGCCACGAGTGACATTTGTTTTCAGCCGGACAATACGGATACTGCTATGATGGAGGTGGAGAATGGGGTGAGCCTGAAGGAGATGGGTTGATTTAGTCGTCGATGATCGCGGCAAATTGATTGAAGTGTAAGGGGGGGTTCGTTCACCAGGATTGTTAGAGGGCGACGCATGCGAGCTGCAGCTCATCTGCTGATCTGCTGATCTGCTTGGCATTGCGAAGACATGGATTTCTCGGGTACGCATCAGGCCTCCTCATTGACCTTCTCTCTGAATGGAAGATTGTTATTACCTGGTGCTCGAGAACATAAATCTCAAGTGTTGTTTGTAGTTAGAGATGCGTCAACGGGCGGTGTGACCTGAGCTTCCAACTGCGCCCTTGGCTGAATGTCACCAGGCGCACCCTGATACCCAACACGCCGACTCGGGGTACTGGGCACTTGGATAGAATACCACACTACTACTTTTTTCTCTCCTTCACAGTTAGCCCCGATCTTACACATGTCAAGCCTTGTTGTCGATTTGCTCTGTTGTTCCTGCACATTTAGCTTCCAGGCTTTGCCTAATAGACTTGGTGGTACTGACTGGATACCCCGGCTCCCGCCGCCTGCATGTCTCTGTGCCCCTGGCTGCGCATGAGGTATGAGGGGCACTCCAGGGGTTGTTGGTTGTCCACTTTCAAGGGTTCTCGGTGGCTCTCAGGGTTAGTTCACTACGAAGTGCTCACAAATAAGCTCCAGTGGCTTCAGTGAGCCCCTAGCACGCCCATCTGCAAGTAACTTTGCCGGTGAAACCCAGATGGTGGGGGCACCGAACCTCTGTTTATCAGCGCCGACAGCGCCAAACCTGACAAAACATGGCATCCAAGCGAGTCCTGCTTCACCACCATCTGATGCTATGTTTGAAGTAGCAATCGTCTCCCATCGTCTCAAGGATTCGCCCACTAACAAGTCCAGGTAACTCGGTGTCACAGAATGGAGCTTTGGCATCACTGGCCATCTCCTCCACACCAGATGCTTGCGTTATGCGCACGCTAACCATCTAACTCGGTTCTGCACCAGGAGGAAAAAGGAAGTCCATGCAGTAGCAGGGAAACCATGAAAATCATCGCCTGCCGCTAGACGACGGGGTATGCAGAGGGTTTGCGAATCCTTCTGGTAACGGTGGTGCGTGGTGTAGGGCGTCCTGGGCGTCGTAGGGCCTTGGTGGTGTGTTTGTTATCCTCATTTCTTTACTCGACCATTACCCAAACAATCCCAATCTGTATGTGGTCGAAGTCGCTCATCATCAGCAGTAGCTGTAGTCGTAGCAGGTAGCTGTTGAATTGTAATTGGTGGTGATTTCAAAGATACTCGGTGTGGTAGTCTCACGAGCAGGTATTTCGCCTACTGCGACGCATCCAACCTCATAAAAGCCGAAAACCAGGTAGTTAAGGCCTTCTCTTTCCCCCTCCCTCCCCCTTGGCCCTCCGATTCCTGTTCCTGGCCCCTCTGTCGTGCTCTAGCTCTAGGCTCTAGGCCTACACGCTGGTCCCCTCATTCCCTCTCACCGCTTGGTCCCGTCTCCTCCACCCACTACTACCGACGCCTGTCATTGGCACAGGCCAAGTCGTGTCGTGTCGTGCGTTCGTCGGTCCTTGCGTTTTTTGTCTGCACACCATCATCCCATCCCACACAACCGCGAGAGCACCCATACCTCCTTAAACCGCACCAACTCTACACTCTTATACGCCTATAGTCCGGTGGTCGAAGTTGGGGGCTTGGTTCTTTTCGTGTTTTCTAGTCTTTAGTTTGTGTTTTCGTCTTGATCCTTCATTGCTGTCACTCCCTCGATCCTCCTTACAATCCTCCTTGCTTAGCCGCTGTGCTCGCAAGCCACTCAGCGATATTGGCAGTCAGCCCGTCACACGAGCAAGCCTGGCAATGAAAGGCTGTCCGATGAGGAGCGTATCTCTCTGTTGAACGAACCCTTGCAACGCAGCTCCAGAGGCATTCCTGGCCTGAAACCCTCCTTCAGCAACTGTTATTGGAACTCTGCAAACCAGACACCAGCAGGCTGTTACGGAATATTTGTTGGATATCGAACTGAATACTTGACTACTTGGGTCCTCGGAACACAAATTGCTTGCCGATACCCGGGTGTAAGCCTGCAGCATTGAGAATACGTGCCATTCTATTCAACATACGAACACTTCAATCGCGTCATCAGTACGCGATCCATTTCTCGCACAACTACACGACGTTCGACCCCGTGTCTCTTGTCAGGGTTTCCCCCTCACAACCGTCGGAGTTCTATCTGTCATCGCAAAAGAGGTGGTACAAGGAGTCGACACATCCGACGGGGAACATAACAGGTCCCGGTGGTCTGGCGCCCGCTGCTGCCTTGTCCAACCGTGAGAACACAACCGGCTACCTGCAGTCGGCCCTGTGAATGACCTTTCAGGGAGCTGCAGATATGCCAAAAGCCCCGGCTTTACCCCATCTTAACTTGGCTCCTGACAACAATGAGGATTTTAATGGTCTGACCCCCGCGACGCTGAGCCCTCGCTCGACAGGCTCTCCTCATACTCCAAGGTCAGCCCCGACCTCTCCATATCTGCAAGGCGCTCCGCCCTCTTTCATGTCGCACCAAGCGTCCGTGTCTCAAGACAGTCGAAACGATGGATCGCGTACAGGGCCCAGCTCTCCTCGGATAACAGCAATGCCCGAATTACCTGCTTCACCTGTTCCTCAATCGCCAAAACACGCCCGAGATCCATCCAAAGGTTTCTTTTCCAACTTGATGGCGTCGAAATCCTCCCACAAGCTCCACCCTTCGGAAACCAGTATTCCAGAGAACGGAGAAAAACCAAACGCAAGGAGCAGAGCTAGTTCAAAAGAGAGGTCTCTACATTCACTGAAGAAGCAAGGCTCGACTCCTGAATTGCCAAAGGCTGTGTCGAGCAACGGTCCCAGCCATGATAACGAGGCTCCAGCCCCAGCGGAGATGTTCCCTCCTCAAGGCACTGTCGAGCCTGCGCCAGCGGCCAAGAAGACCAAGTCTAAGTTCGGCGGCATACTCGCAAGGACCAAGACCGTAAGAATGGAGGAAACAGCGCCCAAACAGAAGCACCCGCCGCCAAGTCATCTGCAACTCGACACCTCTAATTCGGCCAATGACCATGCAGACACATCTCCAAGAACTGCACCCATAAAACTCGACCACCGAGATAGGGCATTTGGTCCTGAAAGTGGCGCAACTGTTCGAAACCGCTCAGTAGATCGCCAAGCTCGTGATGACTTCCACTCTATGAAAAGAGATCGGCAGACTGGGAACATAGCTGTGTCCCATTCCTTCCGAGACGGCTCCACCCTGCAGATCTTATCGAACCTCGGGCAAACTGGCAAAGGCGTGGGAGACCGCTTGGGCAAGGCTGGGAAGGGCTTTTTTGGCAAAATCACAAGAAGTGGGAGCAGCAACGAGCGCGAACCAGCAACAGTTACGGATGACAACTACGTATGCACGACAATCAACTTGCCACTTGTCAAGCAAACTCGGAAAACCAGGATAGCACGACGTCTGGAGTCTTCCAAGGATAAGACCGAGTTCTGGATGCCAGCCTTGCCATGGCGTTGCATTGAGTAGGTTGATCTTGCTGAATCTTCTGTTGCTCGTACTAACCAAGGGTGTGCAGCTACCTAAATATGAACGGTGCCGAAGAAGAGGGACTATATCGAATACCCGGCAGCAATAGGGACGTGAAACACTGGCAGCGGCGCTTTGACACTGAATATGACATCAACCTCTTTGACGAACCGGAACTGTATGATATAAACACGATTGGGTCCATGTTCAAATCATGGCTACGGGAGTTGCCCGATGAAATTCTTCCAAAATCTGTCCAAAACAAGATTGCCACTCAATGTGCCGGAGCGACTTCAGCGCCCCAGCTGTTGAAAGACGAACTGTCGCGTTTGCCGCCGTTCAACTACTACCTGTTATTCGCCATCACATGTCACCTGAGTCTTCTCAACAGCTATGCCGAGAAGAACAAGATGGACTATCGAAATTTGTGCATCTGCTTTCAGCCTTGCCTGAAGATTGATGCCTTTTGTTTTCAATTTCTCGTCATGGACTGGAAGAATTGCTGGCAGGGCTGCTGGACTGAAAAGGAGTACCTAGAAGAAGAATATCGATACGAGCGGGAAGGATCGGTCAATGAAAGTGAGGACCTGGCCATTGATGAGAGAGCCATCTCTTCCAGTGGCAGCAGTCAGCAGCAACAACAACCAACAGCTTCACAACCGCCTACATCAAATGCTCAACAAGCGTCTGCACAACAGTCCGCGCATCCTCGGAGCGCCGATGCCGCGGCACAGCGCAAGTCCATGGCGCCCAAAACAAAACAGAGAAGCCTGTCGCAGGGTGGAAGTGCCAGAGACAGATCTAACAGCGGGCACACCCCCAGTCAGTCAGTACCCGCGGTACCACGTATGACGACTCCAGAACCTCCCAAACTGTCGCTCGATCAAAGATTGCCCGAGCTCACGGGGCTCTCTCCTATCAGAATGTGATGTCTTCGGATATTTGTCGTCGGCCTGATGAGCTTTCAGACTAACATGCTTGCATGGTCGCATGTTATGAGGGACTACAACCTCCTCCTTTTCTTTTGATGCCTCACTTGGATACGCCTCCTATGACGAATGTTTGGCATTGAAAAGCTTTAGGACATATCTTGTATTATCTACCATCTGATTTCTACTTAGCATTGCTTTTCTTTGTGGTTGCATAGTACCGTGGCTTTCTGGCTTCCGCTTCGAGACACTGATGAAGATTCATGAGGAGAATGGTACAACCCAGGCAGGGAACTGATACAGAGTGAAGCCCTGTTTTGTATGACTAGGCGAGTGTAAGATTTTGGACTGGACATGGCTCGAAGTGCGAAGGAGGTTGAGTAGGGGGAGACGAAGCGACTTTTGATACCATAGATTTGTGATGCCGTCGAGTCAAATGCAAACAGTAGTTGCAGAGAGACCTCGTATCAGATACTTCCAGAGCCCATCAATTGTGGTAGTGACTTTGACCATGATGGTGACTCGGTTTTGTCCGCGCTCTTATCGATGTGACCGTTTGTAAACACGTCCTCCTGCCACGCAGAGAGCCTCCCATGCCTTTTTGCTTCCCGCAGTTGATCTCACTCGTGCCACCGGCGCGATCTTGGGCTCGTGGCAGTGTAAATCTATGTCTCTGCAGCAGAGTGAGAGGCCACAGCGACGTCTGTCACTTTGCGAGGTCAGTGGCCGCTTGACGGGGCCATTGACTGGCCGCGTTGCTGGTCGACGCACGCACCCACTCAGGCCAGCTTTGGAGGTTTCTCGCATGTAGTATAGCACTTGACACCACCGGCGGGTCCTGGGAGTATCTCACGGTCAACCCGTCTTTCCACCCTTCCTTGTTCGACGCTCATTGTTTCTCTGCCGTCTCTCTTGCCTCTTGATCCTCTCCACCCGCTCCCGCCGCCCTTCGCCTCTGATTGTCCTGCCGTCGCCAGCATCGGCACCGGCCTTCTCTTTCTTGACGGCCTCATCGTCCAACTCGACAAGCCAGTCGGACTCGTCCTTCTTGTTCCGTCCCTTGTAGCCCCATTTCTTGACCCACTCCCCGCTCTCCTCGTCGTACACCAGGTTCTTGCGCCTCTCCTCCTGCGCGGCCCCGCCCTTCAGGTTACCCCCGTACTTGCCGATGCCCTTTTTGCGCGCGAACAGCTCCCACTTCGTCGGCGGCTTCGGCTTCGGCAGCGGCTTCCACCGCGGCAGGTAGTGCTGTGGTGCCGGCAGAGTCATTATCAGACCCTCTGGGGTGGATTGGATCGGGCAGGTTGTGAGGAGCGTGTTGAGAAGGGATTGTGCGCCATCGCGGGCTATTTGTCTTAGTGTGTCGTTACGCTCCGAGAGGGTTTGAGAGAGGAGGTGGGAAGTGGCGGGGAGAGGGTTTGGGTCGATGGCGGTCAGGTAGCCCAAGTCGTAGGTGTATGGCGTGGGCTTTTCAACGGTCGTCGGTCTATGTGAGAGGAAATGTGTCAGGACGTATGAATCCACAGATTGTACAGTCTGTAGGGTTGGAACACGGCGCAAGAATAACGTACAGTTTTTCCGATTTTGTTTGTGCCGGGTGTGAAACTGTTGACGACAAATGTGTTTCCGCTCCGCCCATGTTCGTGTCCATAGTGGCGTCCGTGGCCTTATCTTTGTTTGCCAGATGTGAGTCTTTCTGCTCCAACACTGAACTTCTCCTTCAAAAAAAAGAAAAGGGTAATCCAGACAATGGTGCTGGAGGGAAGAAATATAGACATCAACCCACAGTAATGGTTTTCGTTTCTCTGCACCAGAAATTTTGACAAGGCTGAGCTAATCCTAGTTGGGTAGTAAGATTGTCACTTCTGCTTTTGTGCGGAGGACGGGGTTTCCATAGGTATCCCTGGTGGGAGTGTCTGGGTGGCTTCATGTGGACCAAGTGATTTGTTGGATACACCCTCGCACACACAGAGGCACAGAGGTTTGCATTCTGACATTTGCGATCGTCTCAATATGAACTCAGTCTGCGAGCTCCTTCGATCGTCTCACCAGTGAAACGGACTTTTATCGCAATTCAATCGTCGTAAGTGTGGTCTTGCACCTTCCACTATTACAGAGTTGTCGTATCGTTGGGTCAAAATACGGGATGTCGACTCCTTCTACTTTCGGAAGGGGGGTATATATAATGCTTTTCAGGCCTATCCGAATCTGGATTTGAGGATGCCGAGTTTCGTCCTTTTTATTCACGATCACCCGAGTTGCCGACAGAGGTAAACTCTCCGTTACAAGGATTTGCTCTGTGGCTTGATCTCCTGGATTACAGACACCAGTTCTGGATCTCTCAAGGGAAGTATCGACTGAAGATCCTGGCTCATGAGTGTGTTGAGTCCTTGATCGTTCCGGTCTCTTATACCCGGCAGCTCTTCCCTGACTGCGGAGGTAACTGAGACGAGAGACCCCTCCAAAATCCCAATGTGAGAAATACGGATCGCGTCTCTTGAAGATTGTCCTTCAGTTTTCCTGCTATTGCACGACGGTCCGGCGCATAATAAGAGAGCACACACCGAGGTTTCTTGCCTCATGTGTCCATTATTATCCTCGAACCACCGACACAATACGGAGCCGGTGATCGCGGAGATGAATGTCGACACAATGTGGAGATGCGTGGCTATGCTGCCGGTGCAGTCGCGAGCCTGGCATCACCAGATCTGTCCTATGTGAGGGCCGAACGGAGCAGCCTCAATACTGTTCTATTCTAACTCCCCGAGCGTTGCGCATGCCCCAAAGCCACCTGGTTGCCCTGCAGCTGCTTCCACACATCCACCTCTCCTGCTCCCCAAAGGGTTTGAACCATTATGCTAGCTTCCGATTCGCGAAGGCTGTGGCAGCTGGCCATGTAAGCTGAACATAATCGCCCCATTTGCGTGGTTCGGAACCTCCCGTTGGACCTATAATATCAGAGAACACCGATTATGGCTCACCACGCTCCCTTATAGGCAGCATAGTGGACCTCCCAACTTCCGATCAACTCATCTCAGCATCGTCTTCGGACATTTACTTCACCCAGGACCCGATGGGTCTCTGCGAGACGTGCAGATTTTCTCGGGCCGGCGTGGAAGGGCCAAAATGGTTCGCCATACTTTCTGGGCGACACATCGAGCGAAAGGCTCGCATAACAGCACAAGAACCTCTGAATATGCTCAAGCAATCTGACAGAACGAATGTAGGCAAATACTAAAATTTGTGCAATCCCTTTCACAAGCACCTAGGCACCGCGTTAATTGGTGTGTCTCGAGACACAAACGCTTGCAGCCCTTTCAAATCGCTCGTCTGAAGTATACTGTTTGAACATAGACAACAGGACGGGGGGAGAATTCTGTTCCAGGCTCCCCCGTTCCCCGTCCCTAGCAATCCTCGTCCTCATCGTGGCCGCCGTCCTCGTCCTCATGGCCGCCATGACCACCAAGACCATCGTGACCATCGTGACCGTCGTGACCACCCTGCCCTCCTCCGTTCAAGCCCTGACCTTGGCCCGGGACACCGCCCATGTCTTGAGCTTCGTGGCCGGCAGTCATGCCGACTTTCTTTGCCAGGCGAGCGAGCAGCAAAAGCCCGACGTGGACCATGCTCTCCAGGTGTGCTTCGTGAATAGGTTCCGCTATGATATTCCCTCCTGTCAGTGGCTTGAACCTGAAACACACAAAACAGGAATATCCTAGAGGGGTGGGCTGGGGAAGCAATAGAGAGAGCGAAGACACCCACAAGCAATCTTGTCCAGGAGCTGCATCGACTCGGCGTGGTGAGGATCCTGAGCGAATCTGGAATGCGCGTGCTGCGGTTTGGGGACGTGCGAAGGCCCCGGCTGCGGGTCCATGACCAGTTTGACCACGAGCTGCACCAAGGATGCCATGTCGCCATCCTGCCCCCCCTCCATCCCGCTCATGTCCCCACCCATGCCTTGGCCGTCGCCGCCATGCTGATCTTCGTAGTCATAGCCCTCGTCGCCTTCACCACCGTCGTGCCCGTAGCTGTCGTCCTGACCGTGCATATTTTCTTTTTTATCTCTGCGAGTGGTCGGAAAAATAAAGGCGTAAAATTGAGTTTCTCTATGTGACGGAGAGACAAGGTAGGCAATATGAAGCAGAAAATGAGCGCTTTAACCACGGATCACGAATGTGTTAGCCTGGATGATATGCAAGATTGAGCAACGATCACTTTTGTAGATGTAGGAGATGATCATTTATATGCAGACTTCATACTAGATCTGTATGTATGATTTTGGGTATGTAGGCCCCCGATCTAAAAATGACTCGCGTTTCAATTTAGGAATCAACCAGGCACACAGCTGAACCTCACAGCCGCACCCCCTCTCCTTCTCCCGAATCACTAGGGATGAAGTCGGCGAAACAATACGGCCGTGGTATACATACCGCGTCCAAAATGGCCCGAGTGGGCTGGCTGCATTGGATATGGATCAGGCTAATGTACCTGCTCGATGCGGATATAGAGTTATTTTTACCCCAGAGATACAAGTGCTTATATAGTTTAAGGTTATTATTCTTAGTCATTTTTGCTACTATTGCCCGGTTCGTCATCAAACTACCCACTCGTGCCACTCTATCATGCTGCAGGTCAGCGCCTTAGGCGCACTCTTTGCAACGATCTCAACGTCATTTCGGAGGGCAGTGTCCCATCCCGATCCTGGTTGCGGCACCGAGGAGAGCTCCTTTGTTCACCGTCAAATATGTACCTCGTACAAACAAACCGATCAGCAGGGGTATCCGAGGTACAGTCAGCTTATCGCCGCATATCCCCCAAATGCATCAATACCTGGCCTTGTGCCCGGTGCGTATAGCTCGACAGTCTCTCGTTCCAAACTTGGGTCCATTAACTATAGCAATAGTCTCCAATATAGGCCATTGACTGGTCCGATAAATTGCTGGGACCCTGCTCTGGCGAGTTGATGTTCATATCAGATACTTGCAATCATCAGCATCCCTCACAGACTGTTCCAATACTGCTTCCCTCTGCAGTGCACATTTACCGACCTTGATATCGCCCTCGCATACAAAAAGATGGCCGCTGCAGCAGCTGATCTAGCTTCGGACGCGGTGCAAGCCGGTGTCTCTATTTTCGGCGCCATCTTCAACTCAGGCGCGGATAAGGACTATCGAAGTGCCTGGACACAGGTTCAAATTGGAGACATGTCGTCGAAGAACCCGGGCAAGAATGTCATGTGTGTCTTCACAAAGCACGATGCATCCGGCCTCGTCAACAGCACAATGACAATTCGGGAATGTACCTGCCCCAACAGCGGATCAGTCTTGACATATTCTTGTTACGTCTTTGATTCAGGGCCATTTGTGTTGCAAGGAGACGGGTCAGTGCTGTTATAGACGAGTTCTCAACCAAGGACAGGCTCAACTGACGTCTTTTGCAGAGGATACCTCAACTGGTGTTTTGCCGGCAATTTTACTAGAGACGGTGGCAACGTGAGTGCAATGGGGATACTCGACAGGAAAATGGTTAACACAGATGATCTAGGTGACTTTCAATCCTTTGAGTTGAAATCAGGGCATGATATCCAATACTCTCAGAAATCAATTTCAAACCGTGTTCGCTTCAGCTCGGTGGTGCATGTGTGTGTATGGTTGTGTAGTTCATCAGCAAGCCCCGCCGGCCATTGAGGAGTGAAGTCAAGTCCAGTGTGTTTTTACATTTTTGGTCATATGGGGAGGAAAGCCTTGTAGTGCCAGGTGTTTTGTTCAAGGCACAACTGGCGAAGGTGCCATCGTCTTTGATTAGAAGTCCGCTGGTGGACGCGACAAACAATTTATTTCAAACGAGATGGTGTGGCTGTTTCTGCTGAGCAAGGTGGAGGTATCCTGGATTTGACCGAGAATGGGTATATATGGGTGATCGACATGACTGCCGCAAACCCCACAGCAAGAGTCCTCGAGGTGGCTGTCACATGATCAGGCGAATATAAGATGGAAGGGTCCCGCAAAAATTCGCCTTCGTCCACGCTCGTGCGGTTGTAGACTCCAACAGGAGGTTTTGCCTCTTCGATTCAAACAAGGTTGGGAACAGTTTAGACCAGAGCTCACTGTAGATGGCGTCCAGTTCGTTCCTCGTTGGATAATGGCATGGGAAAGACGCTATGTGACGACATGGAACCAAAGACCCTTTCTTCCTCAATGCGATGCCATAACTGGCAATTTGACACCTGGTGTAGTCAAATTTGTGCGAATTACATCTGTGGAACGTGTTGGTACAAACGTCTGTTGAGATGTTTGAGATGTTTGGCATGTTTGTCCGGGGAAGAGGAAAATAGGGGCAGGTGGGCAGCAGCCTTGGGATTCCGAGGGGCATGCCAAGCCTGCCAAGTCACCTGATCCTTTGTTTACGTACCGACTCTGTTCCGGCAACCAAGCGGGCCTCGTGCTGAACTTGTTGGTGAGTAGCACCAGTGGTTTGCACCAAACCTTCGGCTCTGCGAGATTGTCGATCGAAAGTCTCAATCACTTCCACCTTCACCAAACAAACGCCCTGTGCTCGCTGCCCTTTCTAACACAGACCATCTCGGTCACCCTCACACATCCTTACCTCCATGTCATCGGCCATGTCTGGGGTTAGCGGTACATATCGAGGCACACCTACGCCCAACCGTCGTGGTCCACTCCCATTTGCAGACTCCCCTTCCGCGATTCCTCGTCCCAAGTTAGAGTCTTCCAGTAACGCCGCGCCCAGCGAGATGTCGGGCACCTCTACCGTGTCGGCAAGCCGACAGAAGCAGAGCAAGAGAGACGAGGTGCGTTATCACGTCCAGAACCTATCCAAGCCAGCCCTGTGCCTAACACGCATGGCTTTTACTTCTAGGCAATTCGACGCAAGATGGAAGCCGATCTCAGCAAGAAGAAGCATGCCCCTTCCCGCGCTCGACATACCCGCAAGGCACCACCCGGAACCGTCCTGGCCCTCAAACCCAGTCAGGCCCTACAGATCAAGCCCTCCACTACCGTCGCCGAGGCTGCTCAACTCATGGCTGCTAAGAGAGAAGACTGCGTTCTAGTTACAGATGACGACGATAGAATCGCGGGTATATTCACAGCGAAGGATCTGGCCTTCCGTGTTGTGGGCGCCGGCATCAAGGCTAGCCAGGTTACAATTGAGCAGATCATGACCAAGAACCCGCTCTGTGCGAGGACTGACACAAGTGCCACCGATGCCCTAGACCTGATGGTCCGAAAAGGATTCCGACATTTGCCCGTCATGGACGAGAATCAAGACATCTCCGGCATTCTCGATATCACGAAATGTTTTTACGAGGCTATGGAAAAGCTGGAACGTGCATACAGCTCATCGCGCAAGCTGTACGATGCACTCGAAGGTGTACAATCTGAACTTGGCTCCAGTCAGCCCCAACAGATTATCCAATACGTCGAGGCTTTGAGACAGAAGATGTCGGGACCTACCTTGGAATCTGTGCTCAATGGGCTCCCTCCCACCACCGTCTCGGTTAGGACGTCTGTAAAAGAGGCGGCGCAGCTCATGAAAGAAAATCACACAACCGCCGTGCTGGTGCAAGATCAGGGGTCTATCACCGGCATTTTCACCAGTAAAGACGTCGTACTCCGTGTCATTGCCCCTGGGCTTGATCCCTCAAACTGCAGTGTGGTAAGGGTGATGACCCCTCACCCAGATTTCGCGCCCACGGATATGAGCATTCAGGCTGCTCTGCGCAAGATGCATGGTAAGTCCTATTCATGTCGGACTGGGTAAAAGTGCTCACAGTCACAGATGGCCATTACCTCAATCTCCCGGTCATGAATGGCGAGGGTGAAATCGTCGGCATGGTCGACGTCCTCAAATTAACCTATGCGACTCTTGAACAAATCAACACTATGAATTCTGGGGAAGCAGAGGGACCAGCATGGAACAAGTTCTGGCTATCAATGGACAATGATACTGAATCAATCATGTCCGGCGAGGGAAGTCATCGCCCAACCACACCTGGCCATCGATCGATGATGGACTCGGAGGCTGGCCGACCTGCTTTCGAAAGAGGTGATAGCGTCATGCCACACGACTCCGCGTCGCACCGAGGAGATGATGTCCACTCTGAGGTACTTCCGTCTGTCGAATCGCCGGAAGAAACACCTTTTCCGTTCAAGTTTAAAGCCCCCAGCGGACGAGTCCATCGGATACAGGTTCTCGCTAGTACCGGGCTTACCGAACTGGTCAGCCAAGTAACCGCAAAATTGGGCAGTGAAGTAGACTCTGTGGGCGGCGAAGCCACTGTCGAGGAAGGTAAATTGGGGAAAGCAGGTTATGCATTGAGCTACCTGGACAATGAGGGCGACACCGTCTCTATCACTACGGATCAAGACCTGCTCGATGCAATTCTGCTGGCGAGGCAGGGAAAGAGAGATAAAGTTGACTTGTTCGTCCATGACCCTACACAGCCGCCAATTGCTACGACTATCGATCCAAGACCTCAGCTTTCGAAACCGCCAACCCCTCCTGAGTCGATCCTCAAGGAGGTGGCAACAGACGCCGCGGAAGAGGGCGACGAAGACGAGGAAGATGTTGTCCCCATTGCAAAAACGATCCGGTCGAGACGAGCGCCACCAGCGATGCAACAAAGGAAGGAAGAACAACCGCAGGTCATTGCCGGTGTGCCGAATGATCTGCTTCTTCCTGGGGCCATTGTCACGCTTGCGGTTGTTATTGTTGGCGTTTTTGCTGTCGCCCGCGCGACGGCAAAGTAAGAATGATACCCCATGACTCCAATGCTGTCGTTACAGGTGCCTGTTTCTGGCTGTTCACATTTTTGACCTTGTGGTCCGGAGGGGGTTCTCTCTCTCAGGACAGAGGAACGTTCTACTTGAATCCGATGCTGCTTTAACAGCAGGTTTGACGAGGCAACATAGACTACTTACCTACTTATCTAGTTCCTATACCAGTGTCTATACTTTCGGTTTGTCTTCTTCTCCCACCTGGATGCCTGTACAGTTGTTGTTCAGGGGGCCGCGCGCGCGAGAGAAG